CTTCTTGCCTTGGGGACACTGCTTGAAGATTTCCAGAATGTCATTACTTAATGGAAACTATGGGGTTGTCTCCTCCTGGTGGGATGTGGTTGGCTCCACCCCCTGGCGGCCTGCGTTCTTGTAGCTGAGTGCCACTGCCCTAGAGCCCGGCTGTCTCCTTCGGGGTGGGGTGGCTCCTGTCCCTTGCCTGCCGGAACTCACCTGGCACAGGCTTGGCTGTGTCATTTACGAGCTTCTTTCTGGGAGAGAGCTAAGAGGAGAAACCAGACTGCACGTCAGTCTTTAAACTCACTTAATTCCCCCCTTCATGATGGGGCCACAGTGCATTCATCCCCTGTGCTCCTCTGGACATGTTGGTCCTGCTGCATAGAAACCGTCCCCCAGCCAACTCCACGTGTTCTTTTTTTTTTTTTTTTTTTTTTTTATTCTCCAGGTTTTCTTAAACCCCTCTGACATGTTTCCATCTCTCTGTGCTGCCCCTCTGTCCGTGCTCGTGTCCCACACTTAGCATATCCTGTGTCTCTCTGTACCGTGCTTGTGGCCACCAGACGAAAGGCTCCTGGCCAGCTGGTGTGTTGGCTGTGTCATTTGTCCTTCTGTCTTCCCCGTGTTGGCCCAAAACTCCAGTTTCTATTTCTGCCCAATAAATGGTTACTTCAATTCACTTACTTGTGGAGGGCTTCGAGGGATCACTGCATAGTGTCCGCCGTCTTGGGGATGCCTCTCCATCCTCACTCCCTCTTCCAGCAGTTTCCTGCAAATTTTCCTAGCCTACTGGCTTCCCTGGGCTTCCCTAGTAGCTCAGCTGGTAAAGAATCCACCTGCAACGCAGGAGACCCCCAGTTCAGTTCCTGGGTCGGGAAGATCCGCTGGAGAAGGGAGAGGCTCCCTACTCCAGTGCTCTCGGGCTTCCCTGCTGGCTCAGCCGGTAGAGAACCCACCTGCAGTGCCAGAGACCTGAGTCTGATCCCTGGGTTGGGAAGAGCCCCTGGAGAAGGGAACATCTACCCACTCCAGTATTCTGGCCTGGAGAACTCCATGGACTGTATAGTCCATGGGGTCGCAAAGAGTTGGACACGACTGGGCGGCTTTGACCTTCACTGGCTTCCCCACCTGGAACCTGCAGCAGGTCTCGCCTGGCTCCCTCTGAATGGGACCACAGGGCAAAGCCAAGTTGCCCTCACAACTCCCACTTTATTTTTCTTATGTCCTATCTTGATACTTGTATCCTTTACTATGTTGTTGTTTTCTAATTAGTTTACTGTTTTGTTTCTAGTACCTTTATTTTGAAAGAAAACTAAATCAGAAGTCACATATGGATAATCAGTAACAGTAGAAACCATGAAAACAAAACAATGTTGTTAAATTTCGTCCAGAAAATAGTATTATTGTCTGCTGACACCTCTAAGTACAACCTTTTACACTGGTACAAACAGGGGCTTTCCTTAGCAATGCTGGGGTGAGAATAATAAGAAATGAAGAGGGGAATAAGTAATTAAATGGCAGCTGCGTAAAGGCAGTCTGCACTCCCCTGCTGCCTTCAGGGACACAGTCCTGGCTGAACTTTGCCATGTCATATTACTTTCCAGGTGGCTGTAAGACCCAGCTTCTGTGAGATTGAAGTCCCACTCTTATCAACTAAACCTCAGAACTAGAGAAATGTCTTCTCTCGTCCTTGTCACTCACTTCAGGAGTGAAGGCATGCATTTTGTGTGCGAGGTTCCACACGTGGCCAAACGCAGCTTACAGGGTGCCGCCACCCCTCTCACACCCTTCGGCTGCCCTCCACACTGTGCTTCACCTGAGGTCAGCAGTGACGTGCTCTCAGCCAGATTCCTCCCTTCCTCCTGCTAGACACTCAGTGTTGAGTGATTCAGCCTAACCCCTTGTCCTCTCTTCCCCTCTGTTCTCTGAGCTCTCTTTCTGATGAGTACACACCTCATCCCACCCAGCTTTTGGATGCTTCCCCTCCCTGAATCAGTCTGTGGCCTCCTTCCTCCTTTCACTGGGGTGTGTTTACTCAACTCAGGGCTCCAGGGTCCACCCCCTCCCCTCCAGGCTCCCAGCCTGCTGTGCTTTATGTACCCCGCTCCCATTAGGAGCACCTCAATCCCCACTGTCCCACCACAGCTCACTGCATGACGCATTTTCAGGACCACAGGGCCCTTAGTTCTGGCCATACTTGTACCAGAAGTACCCTTGGTGGAGAAAGGAAAGTGCCTTGTACCCTCAGAGCCTGAAGCAGACCTGTCCTGTCCCGTAGTTGTGCTCCTAAGAGCTTGTGCTATTGCACTGTTCACTGGCCTGCCATCAGATTGAGTTCCTTTGGGAAGTGCCACTTCGTGGCCCAGCTCCTAGCACACGGCTATCACGGCTTGGAGGGTGCTTCCCACAGGCTGCTGGCCCATCAGTTTCCCTCACACTTTTATTCCGGACACCTCTCTGGTTTTAACTCTGGGTGTCCCTTCTCCATCTCCAGCACTGTGTGTGCAGGAGAGATACCAGGAATCAGTTTTGCACCTGCAAAACCCCTTTTCCTGTAAGTGTTGTTAGAACTGGGTTGATATTCTCCTTGTATAAAACTTAGAGGTTGCCATAGGAGCTGTCCCTTCCCTCTTGGGTCTTGGGAGTTACCTGGAGGGCATAAACCTTGAAGTCTTACTAGCCTATTGGAAGCAGTTGGACATTATTGAATAGTTTCATGACCACCTCTAGACACCTAACTGGCACTGGTGTAACACAGCCTTCCTCTAGCATTGACAGTATTGACCTTTCTTGTGAGCCAAATGATTAATGACTTATTCAGGGTGATGGATTTTTTTGTTTGTTTGTTTGTTTTGAGTGATTGGTATTCCATCTCAGAACAGGCAAATGGTGCTCTTAAGTTTTATATCTATATGGTGAAAGGGGGTAGAGAACAATCCTTCCTTTCAAAGCAAACAAGGATTCAGATCGCTAGGATCCAGTCTGCCATGGGATGGCCACGGGCTCCCCACGTCGGTTCCTGCCCTCACATCAGCCTTTTCTTTGGAGCAGCGCTCTGTTCTTGGGTTCTCTAGCCACTTGATAGCTAGGCCTGTAGTCAGCCAGAGCACCCTGGAAGGAAAGTGGTCTCCCTGTCGGCTTTGTCAGGCCTCAGACCAAGAGGTTCAGCTCTCCACCACCTGCCATGGCAGATTTCACTACTGAGTTGCTTTTATGTAGCGAGTTCTTACCTTGTGCATTTAAAATTCAGTAATTTGCCAGTCCTTCCTTGGAAGGACTGATGCTGAAGCTAAAGCTGCAATACTTTGGCCACCTGATGTGAAAAGCTGACTCATTGGAAAATACCTTCATGCTGGGAAAGATTGAAGGCAAAATGAGAAGGGGGCAGCAGAGGATGAGATAGGTAGCATCACCAACTTGGTGAACTTGAATTTGAGCAACTTCTAGGAGATAGTGAAGGACAGAGGAGCCTGGCTTGCTGTAGTCTGTGGGGTCGCAAAGAGTCAGACATGACTTAGCAACAGAACAACAACAGTAACGTTTTGCCAGAACTGCATTTGTGGAAACCATTGTGAAAGCCTTGTTTTAAATTACACTTGGACTGAACCAGAATGACTAGTATGTGCTGAGTGTCTTCCAGAAAGAAAGCTGGGACAGAGCCATCCAGCTTGCCCCATTTTTTCTTGTCCCCTCTGCCTATCAGAGTCCTCCCTCTTTCCTTAAGCCTTTGCCTGAGTTTCTCAGCTATGGAGGTTTTCTTGCCCTCACCAAACTCCTGGGTTTATTACTGGAATTTCTCATTACATGCAGGCAGCTCCTGCCTCACTTTCTGATTGTTCCTTCTTCTTGCCAGTAGTAAAGTGTCAGAAAAGTAGTGCACAAAGAATGGAAATGATCAGTACTCTTTTAAACAGATGTTTCTTCTCACTAAAAGAGTGAAGAGTAAGGGGTGGGTTAGTGTGTTTTCTGAGGGGCAGTTTGGTATTAGGAACATGAACCCACTGCCCTGTGGCTGTCCTGTTACTATAACTGGACAGACGCACAAAGTCAGCATTGCAGGGATGCCCGTAGTATGGCTTGAAGCAGGGGTTGTCGAGGGCAGTGCATGGACACAGTGCTAATAAGGCATTGTTTGGGGGGAGGGGGGGTCACATGTGCTGTCCCCCACCCCAAGCCCCCAAAGAATCACAGGAAGTGCCCCTCTATCCCTTTATAAACAAACTTTGAAAAGCTGGTTAATAAAACAGTAGGTCAAGTATGGATGCATTTTTATGTTATCAGCAGTTACCATGTGGTATTTCTTTAATCTGCAAGCATACATTATTTAAGTTACCAAGAAAATATTTTTCGTAAGTGTGAGCACTCAGCAGTGGATTGCATGGGCTAAAAAGGAACAGGCAGTCTGGCCTTCCTGCTTGGCCCCCAGTCACCAAGTGGAATTACTGATGTGGCTAGATGTTTCATGAGCTGCAAATACAAACAAGAATTTTAATGAAGAGATAATTTGAGGCTTGCAAATCATCCTCTCTCACACACAGTGTCCACTAAAAACTCAAGAGGTGAAAACTTGGTTTGTTGTTTATTGTATCCACCCTCCCGTGAACTCCGTAGCTCCCACAGCCCCTTTCAGCACCTGGCTGACTCTAGAATCCATGGCCTGGCCCGCACAGTTGGTTCCTGGTCTCTCTTCCCTACTGGATGATGAATCTTTGAGGGGAGCAGACAGTGGGGCCTTTTCAGTCAGTGCCTGGAGTCTCTCTCCAGCCAACCCAGTCGGTCTTCATCAAAGGGGCTCCACCTTTGGAGGCCACAGCCCAGGGGGCTGTGTCACTGTGAATGGCTCCCCTATGCTCCCTCGTCTGTGACAGTGGCTTTTCCTTTGTAGATTGCCCGGTGAAGAATGTGATGGGATCAGTAGCATGTCTGCGGAGAGCGGCCCTGGGACGAGATTGAGAAATCTGCCAGTAATGGGGGATGGACTAGAAACTACCCAGATGTCTACAACGCAGGCCCAGGCCCAACCCCAGCAAGCCAACACAGCCAGCACCAACCCCCCTCCCCCGGAGACTTCCAACCCCAACAAGCCCAAGAGGCAGACCAACCAACTGCAATATCTGCTCAAAGTGGTGCTCAAGACACTATGGAAACACCAGTTTGCGTGGCCTTTCCAGCAGCCTGTGGATGCCGTCAAGCTAAACCTCCCTGTGAGTAACCTGGGCAGGGTCCAGGGCTCCTGTCCTCCAGGTCTCCCATGTTGCTCCTGTGAGGGTGGATTGATGGGAGGGGGGAGTCAAACTCCAGTATGCTTGAGTGAGTGGTTTTAGCAGTCCTGATGAATGGAAGTGGGGAAAGAGGAGAGGTGCTGACTGGATTAAATAGTAACTGGCTTCTTTGATATTATGATTCTGGGACATATTGTGTGACGAGGTAGGAATAGAAGTGGAGGGGTGCTTGCAGCTTGCCCTTGCTTCAGGGGAGCTAAAGTGGGGTCACTTGGTGGTCCAGGCCCTTACTCCTCAGACTTGGTTGGCCAGACTGACCCAGTAGGTTCACCAGACATGGTTGGTCAAATTCTGAGAGGTATTGGCAGGCTGCAGTACCTGTTCTGCTACTGGCATCCTCGTTGTCACTTGGAGCATGGGGTGGGGAAAGGTAGCAAAATGGAGCCAGGTACACGGAGGTGGCCTGGATTGGAGGGGGGGTTGTGTTGTGGCCATGCTACACCTGCTGTTGTTCTTTTAAAAGTGCGCCTGTTCCTCTCCTTTTTCCTTTGTGAGCTTTCTCTTTGCCCACATTCCTAGCAAATATCTCTGGAAACTCACCTGCCTTTAACTGAACCTTGGGGAGGAAACAGGATAAACGTGTTAATTTTTTCTGTCTTCAAAGCATCAAGGACTAATTGTCTTTAAATTGTCTTCTGCTCTTCACCAAATCCCACACACACCTGGGCAAGGTAGTTGCAATTAGATGATTGTTGCAGCTGACCCAGATGTTAGTCTGAGAGTCAGAGCTGCGCTACTGTGGACCCCAGCCTCTGCCCAGCACCTGGTTTCAAGGAAGAGGGACCCATCAGTGCCACCTTCCTTGCTTGACCGTCGCTGTGTCTCTGACAGCTGTCCAGTACCGTCTGTCCATTGAACACCCATCGTATGCACTCAGGAGGAGGGTCAGGTGGGGTGCTGCAGGCCTGGGTCATGAACTGGCGGAGCAAAGCGAGTGGGAACAAAAGAAGGGTCCTCATGGAATCTGGGCTCCAAAGGTCAATCTCCTCATTGAGCACAACCAGGAGTAGAGGCCGTGAGCCCCATTACTGAAAGGAGGCTCTTGGGAGAGCTTGCGGTACTAGCTTCTAGCTAGACTGAGGGCTGGGGTGTGCAGGATCCACAGGTGAGGTGACCTTCCTAGAGCACATGCAAAGAGTGGGGAGAGAAGGCGCTGTGGTTGGAGTCCAAGGGGGCCGACGGCTTTTATAGCACTGGAGGGAGCAGGAGGCTAGGAGGATCACCAGCAGAGAGCAGCCCCCCCAGGTATCCACATCAGAGACTACGGGAAGGTCAGAGAGCTGAGGGTTCCACCCTGACCCTCCGTTGGCCTTTAGGAGGGCATTGGTGACCTTAGGAAGATGTGGCGCAGTAGAAACCAGATTCGCACTGGTGTGAATAGGAAGGTGAGGATGTGAAGCCTCCGTTTCAAGAAATTTGACTTTGAAGGGAAAGCATGGCACGGCCAGGTGGAGGAGGGAGGGTTTGGTTTGTTCAGGTAAATGCAGAGGGAGCAGAGGCACAGAAAGCTAAGAGGGTGAAGACTGAGGAGAAAGGGCGTCAGTGGACCAGAGATGCGGAGAAGGCAGCATGCCTGCCAGTGGGACAGACAAGGGTGTGTGTGGGCTGTCAGGTAAGGGGTTGGGAGTTTGAGGTCATTCTCTGAAGTGGAGGCCAGGCGCCCCTGGGGTCCCAGTGTGACTTGGTGTCACCCTCAGCAGCTCCAGTGGAGCTAGAGGAGGCTGGGGGGTGGTGGCACTGATCCGGTGTCTTCACAGAGGTGGCTGAGCTAGGGGCTAACCCAGAGGGAGGGGCAGGGCTCTTTGCCTGGGGACAGTGTCATACTGAAGCCCAGTTTTCCAGGGACAGCCCCCTCCCCAGGAAATGGGAATAGGGCCATCCCAGACAAGAGTTTGTTCTTTTTCTGTTTTCTGATCCCTTCCAGATCTTTCCAAGTCTCGGCCTCTGGTCCCCTCAGGACTTAGCAGAATGCCTGTTTCTGTCCCTGGGCACACACGTGCAGATGGTCGTCTTGCCCCTTACGCCCCTGTCTCCCTTTCAGCGCCCCCGCGCTCACCCTCGCCTGTTGGCAGCTCTCCTCCTCCTCCCTCTCTGTCCTCAGCATCTGTCCTGTTGGGCCTCACAGTGCTTTCCACACGCCAGGGCCGATTCAAGCACCTGGCACCAGTCTCAGGTGGTGACACTGCGGTCCTTGGCCATGGAATAGATTCTGAATTTCCCCCAGGGCATTTATATTTGGACTTGGTTCTCTCAGGAAAGGTGGTCAGAGCAAATACAGTGTAGAAAATCTCTTTCAGTCCCTTCTTGAGGCTTACTTGCCAGGGTACCTAGGCCTGTGCCTGCAGCCCCGTTTGGGGCAGGGGTGTGAGCTGTGTCAGCTCTCAGGTGTATGCCAGCGACTTCTGTTCCTTTCTCGTGGGCGTCAGAGCAACTCAGAACCTCACACCCTTGGCTCACTTTTTCAGCACTGCCCGCCTCTGTTCCTGGGCAGGACCTCTGTGCTTGCCAAAGCACGGACTTGCCCCGCTGCCATCAGGCTGCCCCAGGACGTGACACGGTTCTGATACTTCACCTGGGCCTGATTGTGGGGGCCTCAGAGAGAGTGGCCCTCGGTGGGGCTGGCTGGCTGTGTACAGCTGCGCCTTCTCGCCTGCCCCTCTGTGGCTCTTCCTCCTGGAACCCAGGCACTGTCTGATCTGTCCCCAAATCCTCCTGTGTTTGGTTTTTAAAATGAGCATTTGCTTTTAAGATAGGTTTCGATTTGGGGAAAGGGATGATGGTAGAAGAGAGTTTGATTGGAAGGGCTCTCGCCACATCTGCACCTGCTGTCTGACGTCTTCTGTTCAGCACTTGTACAGTAAGATCCAGAGGTTTGAGGAGTGGGTCTGCTGGAATTTTGAGTTTTGGTTTTTTGTTTTTTTTTAAACTAAGAATTGTGAGGACTGCATTTGATTCCTCATCTGGCACTTAACCTGGTTCGTTGTTGAACTGTATGTATCCAGATACTAGTGGATCCTTAGTGATAGACTGTATGTAGGTGAAAGGAATGGAAGTGAAATGAACTGAAAATAGAGGCTTTTGCTCCTTGGTACTTCAGTGTGACAGGAAGCAAGGGGTCCAGTTTGTTTTGGTGGGCTGGAAAGTATTTTATGGATGTGGATAATTTCACATGGTAGGGAGAAGGTAGATACGGTGGGTTATTTTACCAGATGATAACCACTTTTTTAAAGGTTGAGCAACTTTCCCTGTTACTTATTCTGAATTTCCACTCAGCTTTTAGCAACTCTTCTGTGAACCACTTTATCTTGGAGTCCACCCATGAGATGGCTCACTGAGGCGGTGGAAGAGCTTAGGTCTGCGTGTCTGTGGTGAGATGTGGGGTGAGAGCCACGCCCCACCGGTGAGTGCTGCCTGGTTGTGGAGGTGACGTTGACCTTTCGCTCTCTCTGCTCTCCAGGATTACTATAAGATCATTAAAACACCTATGGATATGGGAACAATAAAGAAGCGCTTGGAAAACAACTATTACTGGAATGCTCAGGAATGTATCCAGGACTTCAACACTATGTTTACAAATTGTTACATCTACAACAAGGTGAGATTTGGGGGCCGGTGGAGAAGCAGAAGGCAGAGGAGGTGTGGTGGGCGTGTCTGAACCCATGGGCAGGGGCGCTGGGTGCAGCTGGGATTGCAATCTGAGCAGAGGAGACCACTGGTGGCAGAGGTAAATGGGACCGTTGGTTTTGTGTGTGAACTGGATATGTGTCTTTTGAGGCCAGTAATCTTTTGGTTATGTTTCCAAGCCGTCCTTGTTAGCTGAAAGCATGTACTTCTGATGCCCTTGGGACTTTGGTTCTTGAGCATGTCTAGTAGAGAAGATGTGAAAAGGACAGTCAAGAATCACTAAAAAGTTTGTTAGGATGACTCAAATTGTCAGGAAGGAACCTACTAAAATGTAGAGAAAAATGTAAAGAAAGTGAAAGCTGCTCAGTTGTGTCCGACTCTTTGCGACCCCATGGACTGTACAGTCCATGAAATTGTCCACACCAATATACTAGTGTGGGTAAGCCATTCAGTTCTCCAGGGCATGTTCCCAACCCAGGGATTAAACAAAACAGATCTCCTACATTGCAGGCGGATTCTTTACCAGCTGAGCCAGCAGGGAAACCCAGTTGTAAAGAAAGATGTGCTCAGACAGAAACCTAAATGTGAGAGAGGGTACAGTGTGGGGCCTGCTGCATCTGCAACTGTGGACATGACCATCAATAATAGCTTGTGGCTGTAGAATCAAGTATCCCCTTGTTGGGTCTTACATGTAGGCCTAAAGATCACGTCTTAACCCAGTAGCCAAGCCATTCATCTTGGCTATGCCGTGAAGCCAGATCATTTGTTTAAAGTCTCAGTTCTCATCGCTAGGTTTAAGGGAAATATGTACAGGTAGGATTCTCCATTTAGAGCTGAGTGGGTTGAGGGATGTTACAGGTGAGGTGGCAGAGTGGGACCCATAAGGCAGTGAAGAATGAGCATTTCCCCAAGGTTCAGTGAGCTGCTTTGGCAATACCCTGGGGAACGTTATTGGAGCCCTGCTCCTATATCCTGTGTAATCCAAGTAATTCTGGTGAAATTGCATTGTGTCAAGGGAGGGACCCCTGTTTGTGGTTGGTAGTGCTTGATAGATATTGAAGGCATTAGGATGGTTTCTCGGGCCAGAAGTTAAAAGGCTGGAGAGGCAGCAGACTTGCAGGCCTGTGAATCCTCCGCAGTGCCAGGTAGCAAAGCTGTGTTGTAGCCCTTTGGAGTTCAGATTGGAGGACTCTGAATACGACGCTCCACACTTTGGGACCTAGGATGGGGAGCTCTTGTTCTGTCTAGAAAGGTGGGGAGGGCTTTCCAACCCTCACTGTGTGTGTCTCCTCTTTTAGCCTGGAGATGACATAGTCTTAATGGCAGAAGCTCTGGAGAAGCTTTTCTTGCAAAAAATCAACGAACTGCCCACTGAAGAAACCGAGATTGTGATAGTCCAGGCGAAAGGACGAGGACGCGGGAGGAAAGAAGCAGGTAGGGCGCCCACAGCGGCTCCACCGTGCGGCAGAGCCTCCCTAGTCGGCCAGCCTCCCCCAGGGCTCCTGGGGGCTAGAGTGGAGGGAAGACGGCTGTGTTACACGCCCCCTGTGTTGGTGCTGTTTGGGGTAGGGTGGAGCCAGCGCAGAGGGTCGTACGACCCTCCAGCACAGTAGAAAACATTGGGCCGTGCTGTCTCGATGGACTTCAGTTGAAAAGAAAGTGTGGCTTTTTTTTTTTTTTTTTTAAGTTATTTTGAAAGTATTTGAGTTCTTCATCCCACCAGTGCCATAGATCGTCTTTTTCGTTTTGGATAAAATTGATCTGATCAGGGGTAGTCTTAGTCTTAACTAATCCTAGAGCCTTAAGGTTTGTCACTTGGGTTATCTTAATCCACTTGTGTCAGAGTCATACCTGCTAACTGCATAGTCTTCTGAAGTCAAACTCTCTCTGTCTTAGCTCCCACCGCACCCCTGCCCCCCAGCCTGACACACCATTCTGAAGGTCAGTTGGTAGGGAGTAGCCTACTCGTGAAATACTTCTGTCCAAGAAGTTTTTACAGCTGCCTTCTGCATCTTGCCATCTGCAGCACCCAAGTTGGCAGAAAGATGATGCTTGCAAGGTGGCCTGTGCTGTGAGTTTGCTTCTCTAAGGCGCAAGCTTTCACCTGACTTCCTATCTTGTGTAGAAGGGATATTTTCATGGGAGTGAAGGGGATTGGCTATCGCCCCTGCAGTGCTGAGGGGTAGCCAAGGAGACCTGGTCTTGAGGGTCACCCCTTAGCTGTGGAACCTGCCCACGGGTGTCCAGTATACTCAGAACCAAGGAGCCCACCCTCCCTGCTGGGAGGGGTTTGGGCTTCACCTGGGTAGCTGTGGGGCCTTGTGTGTTTTGGCTCACCCACACTGCTGCAAGGAGGCTGTGTGAGCCAGTCCTGAAGGGCAGCAGCTGTCCAGCCTGCCCCTGTGATTCAGAGGGATGGGGGGCTGCCAGTTTCCAGAAACCTTGGCTCGGGCTGCCGGTCCCGGGCTCTTGCCAGAAATGCTTACTCAGAAGGCAGTGTTTCTGGGAATGAGGACAGCTCTGCCTGTAAGTGCCAAGGAATATTTTTTTGCTATCACTGTCCTAGTGCTAAGTCTCAGTGTGAGTTTCCTGTTCCTTTGGCTCAAGCCTTCATGCTCCTGAAGGGGTCTTTGTGCCTGAGTAAGGACTTGGAGCCAGGACACCCCAGGAAGTGTGGAATGTGGTGTGCCGCTGCTCTTGGAGCCTCCTGGGACAGGTGGACAAATCTGTCTGAGGGCCAGGGCATTCGGGCTGTTCCGTCTCTTAGACAAATCCCTCTGGTGACTCTGTGTGCCATGCCCATGGCACTGTGTGCTCACCACGTGTGGCCGTGTCCCCAGAAGGTCAGCCAGCATGCATGCCTGGCATCTCACCCCTGTCGATTTTATGGTTGATAGGGACAGCAAAGCCTGGCGTCTCTGCGGTACCGAACACGACGCAAGCGGCAACTCCTCCGCAGACCCAGACCCCTCAGCAGAATCCTCCACCTGTGCAGGCCACACCTCACCCCTTCCCTGCCGTCACCCCAGACCTCATCGTCCAGGCCCCTGTCATGACCGTGGTACCGGCCCAGCCGCTGCAGACGCCCCCGCCAGTGCCCCCCCAGCCACTGCCCCCCCCTGCGCCAGCCCCCCAGCCCGTGCAGAGCCACCCGCCCATCATTGCAGCCACCCCGCAGCCTGTGAAGGTGAGTGTCCTGTGCGTGTGTGGCCCAGCCTGGCCACTTTGTAGCTCCGCTACATCAGAAGGGGGGAGAAGAACCCCCTTCACACTTCCCCAGTTGCAGTGAGGCTTATAGGAGACAGTCACCCATCCTTGCCAGTGTTTCTGGCTCCCAGGGCACTTGTGGGTATTTCGAGGGGGCATCAAGCTGTGTTTAAATCAGCACAGCCTGAAAGCTGCTGACCCAGAGATTCCGTAATTGAGTAACACCTCCCAGGTGGTTGCTGCCCCCTTCCCAGTTCTAATTTAGACTGTGTGTTTGCAGTTCCTGTCTAAATAGTCTCTGAAATGTGCCTTCCGTGGGTGGCCAGTGACAGGGGTGGGCTCGGGAGAGGTCCCTGGCCTATAGGAAATTGCTTTCAGAAGTCTCTTTGGCCTCTGGTGAGCAGATCCCACACTCGGTTATGTGCTTTCTCCTGCCACTGGCTGGGTCCTGTCCCAGCTCCAGAACAGAGTGGTGGGACAGGGCCTCCCTGTTTTCAGTCCTTCACCTGTGGGATTACCTTTGGGCTCTGTTCACTGTGAGAATTGAGACCCTAGAAAGGACTTGGCTTCAGGAGTGACCCAGAGGGCCCACAGTGCCAGCCGCTGCCTCTGACCATGCCTGTCGCGCCTGTGCTCTTGGCAGACAAAGAAGGGGGTTAAGAGGAAAGCGGATACCACCACCCCTACCACCATCGACCCCATTCATGAGCCGCCCTCACTGCCCCCGGAGCCCAAGACCGCCAAGCTGGGCCCCCGGCGGGAGAGCAGCCGGCCTGTTAAACCCCCGAAGAAGGATGTGCCTGACTCGCAGCAGCACCCGGCGCCAGATAAGAGCAGCAAGGTCTCAGAGCAGCTCAAGTGCTGTAGTGGCATCCTTAAGGAGATGTTCGCCAAGAAGCACGCGGCTTACGCCTGGCCCTTCTACAAGCCCGTGGACGTGGAGGCGCTGGGCCTGCATGACTACTGTGACATCATCAAGCACCCCATGGACATGAGCACAATCAAGGTGAGTGGATGTGCCCCTGAAGCTGGGGAAGGGACCCCTTAGAACCGGAAAGTCCAGCACTTCTGAGGCCTGTCCAAGAGGAGGACCCAGTCTCAGGAGCTGTCTGGATCTCCTCACCAACCCAAAGCAGCCCAGCGCCCCCTGCTGGGCATTGTGGAGGGTGCAGCCTCTGAGATCGTGGGAGCATGTTGGTCACGGACAGCAGTGCTGCCCCTTCCCTCATCTGAGGACTAGCCCTCTGTGGTCTTGAGCCCAGTGCCCATAGACATCTTCACGTGGTAGGTGCTCCAATAGGGTTTGGAGAGTGGTGACTTTGACAGGCTCTTAAGAGGTATATGAGTGCTGGCATTTTAAATATATGTGTATATATATATATACACACACACACACATATATATATTTTTTCCTTTGGCTGTGCTGGGTCTTAGTTGCAGCATGTGGAATCTTTAGTTGCAGCATGCAGGAGCTAGTTCCTTGACCAGGGGTTGAACCAGGGCTCCCTACTTTGGGAGCTCTGAATCTGAGCCACTAGACCACCAGGGAAATCCCAAGTGCTGGCATTTTCTTGGCATTTTTGGTTTTGTTTATTTTAAGCCTTTGGCATTTTTTCCATGTGGGAGTGGAGTAAACCTGTCCAAACTTGGGCAGAGCAGAGGACGTTGCTGTGTTCCTTTTGATTGGTGTCCTGTCCGACGTCAACAAAACAAGCACAGGCCAGGTCAGAACTAGGCCCAGCCCTCTCTTTACAGTTGTAGCTTAAGCTTTGTGTGGATCGTGTGTGCTCTTGCCAGGCACAGTGGGTTAGACGCTAGCAGGGCATTTCCTGGCCTTGAGACTTAATGTTAGAGTATCTCTGTGTCTACCTGATGCTGAGAACTGAGGTAATAACTTCTCCCCACTGAGGTCTGGGTTAAACTCCGAGCCATTGAGAAGTTGACCTGCTCCTGCAGACAGCCCTTCTTGGAGCAGGGGCAGCCGTGACTAACCAGGACCCGTCTTGTCTTTTTAGTCTAAACTGGAGGCCCGTGAGTACCGTGATGCTCAGGAGTTTGGTGCCGACGTCCGATTGATGTTCTCTAACTGCTACAAGTACAACCCTCCTGACCATGAGGTGGTGGCCATGGCCCGCAAGCTCCAGGTGAGGCTCTGGGGCAGCTCTGGGTGTGGTGTCCTGCCGCAGGGCAGGCTGGGGTCCTGGGTGGGCCAGGCCTCTGTGGGCCTCAGCAGGTTTTACTTGTCGCTTGCTTTGGTATAATGCCATGTTGCTTTGGAAGAGTGGACTAAAGTCAGGATAACACATTTATTTTACATTGGGATTATTGTCTTTTGATTAAAGTAGGGTGGTTGGTTTTGGTCTTGGGCATTTTGGGTTTTGGGGTGTTCCACTGAAAGCCCCCCCCCCACCCCCTGCATTCGATTCCCCTTGGCTGGAAGAGTGTGCATCCTGTGCATGGCCCAACTCTTCTCCAAAACAGACCCGTCTCAAGTCGGCGAGGGACGTTCTTGCCAGGTAGACACTTTGTCCCAGTTGTGAGCTGAAGTAAAACTGCTCACTTGCGGGCATTTCTTCACTAGAGCCTTGAAAGCCATGAGGTTTGCCTTCCCGCTGCAGGGCGGCTGCTTCTAGACGTTCTGTGTGGCCGTGGAGCCCCAATGGGGTGGGATTCGTGGCCCCTTCAGGTTGGTTCTGGGTGGTGTACGCTGTGGAGTGCACCCATGGGTGGGAGGGAGGGGCAGATTACAACATAAATGTGTGAGTTAGCTCCACTTTTCTTTCTTTCTTTTTATTTTTAAAAAGAAACAAGGAACGACATGTGCCCAAATTTCACCAGAGACATACATTTTGAGTAGAAAGAGCAGGAGTTAAAAATTATGGAGAATAAAGTCAACATTTAGTACTGTTACCTGTTTTCATCATTGTAATTTTTTGAAATCACATGTAATGAAAATTCCCAGCCTCTTCTCCCCAGGACCCCAGGTTGTGCTTCTGCTTTCAGGGTCAGAGCAGACTGGACCACCCGTTGTCACACGGTCCAAGTCACACATCCTGCGGCAGGCTCTCTCCTGAGGTCTGGGTGGGGCTTCCTCACACCGGGCTTTCTCTGTCAGCTGTGGGATGCTTCCAGCAGCAAGGACTTGCACAAGGCCTTTGGTGACCTTGGGTCACTGTCTGTCGGAGACCACTCAGGCTCTGCTGCCCACCTGTCTCCCAGCTCTGCTAGCTTCACGCATTGTCCCACACTCACCGGCATATTGTCTCCTATGTCATCGTCTTGGAGCTAAGATGTTCTTTCACTTGGGCTCGTTTGGGTCAGCCTTTGGTGTCCTGAAAATCTACGTATTTAAAGAGAAAAGAAAACCTTATTAGTATGAACCTGGTTATTGTTAATTAAACATGCACTCAGACTTGAAGGTTTTTATTTCTGCTGACTGTTTATTATTTTATTTGAGGTTTTTTGTTTTTGGACGGGGCACAGTCTTCAGTTTGGTGCTGTGTTGTCTGCTTTCTTCACAAAGTTGCCTTTTTTATTGTTTACTTCTGCCTTTCCTATAGGAGCTGGTCAGCCTTCATACCTGCGTTGCAATTCTCAGACATCGCCACCAGGTGGCAGCGGTGTCCTCAGAGCCATACAGACAGACACAGACACACACACACACAGACACACACAACATTTTTCTTGTTCTGGGAGTGCCACGAGCATGCCCAAACATGGGGTTTACTCATAGCACGGACACCGAGGTGTTTGCCACATGGCAGCTCTTTTCTAAACATTGGTTCCAGATGCAAGGCTGGAATGGGACAAGGTCCTTGCCCTCGAGGAGGGCCCACTTAGGTGGGGGGGGCAGAGGGCAGTGCCCGGCGGGGCCACTCAGCACAGGGCTGCCTCTGTCCCCGGCTTGCTTTGTCCCTCGCAGGTTGGGTCTCCATGCTACTGAAAGTAAAACGCCCGGTAGGGGGTAGGGATGTCTGCTTCAGCAGAGTCGACGTGGCAGGTCCTGTGTGGGCATCTCTGGAACACAGTTCCTGTGTTTTGTAGTATTTAGAGTTTTGTTTTTCTTCTTTCAAAGTTTTCCAGGATTAGCATGGTTTAGGTGGCTAGATTGCCTACTGGGGAGGAGGAGCAAAAAAATTCTGGCCCTTGTTTGCCTCAGTAAGAGGAGTTGGGACCTGCTGTGCCCAGGGGCTGGGGTTTATCCAGAATGTTTTATGGGAAAGGATCCACTTTATATTTATCGTCCAGCCTCCAAATGCTGGATCTTTAGAAAGCCCACATCCCACCACCTGGCAGCTGTGGTCACAAAGACAGCTAGGAACCCTTGGTCTCAGGGTGTCCTTGGGAACCTGCAGGTGACTTGAGCTGAGGGTTGCTACCCTAGCTTCCGGGCCCAGAGCTGCTGCTGGTACTGTCCATTGCTCTCTGTTCTGCTGTGAAGGGAGGAGGGGTAATTTAGAAAGTTTTGTGCCTATGTGGATTACCAGAGTTTTATTTTGGCAGAAAGTGCAAATTCATGGTGGTACACAATTGTTTTACAGCAAGGGAAAAACATTAAACTGAGGAAGGTACATATATATGCAGGGCCCCGATGTACCTCCAGTGTATGTATGGTTGTGTGTGTTCGGGTGTGTATCTGAGTGTCCACTCGTGGCTTTGTCTCCAGCACCTGGGGCCAAGTGGGCCTCCACAGCCTGAATTCTGCTTCCCACTTCCGTGCCCCCAGCCCCTGAGCCTGATATGCCCAGGTATGGCTAAGTCCGAGAGCAGTATCCAGGTGGGGCAAAGAAGGGCTGACTGGACAGCGCCTCCCCTTTGGTCTCCAACTCTGCTCAGCTGGAGGCTGGTTTGCCTGAAAGTCTTTGGACACTGCCGCCTCCTAGCACCTGAGCATCTCTGTCACTAAAGAGGGTGGGGAGCTTCCTCCATGAGTTTGATACTGCCCAGGGTAGATGGCTCTGGTCAGCACTATAGTAAGAAGAGATACTTGCTCTCTGAAACCAGTGTTCTCTCTGATGTTGAGAATTGTGATGTGGCCCAGGTTCTTGGAGTGGGGTGGAGGTCATGTCATGCTAGGCAGAGTAGATGGGTTCACCTCAAGACACTACCGTCCTAGCACAGAAGGCCTGAGCCCTACACTCGTGGTATGTGCTGCTGATGACTGCTCCTTCCTGTCACTCCCCTCTCCTGAGACACTCGCCCTGGGTGTGGCTCATTGGGTTTTCCTGTCTCTTGCCTGACCCCATGCCACTTTGACCTTTCTCTCATTTGTACCGTCCTGTGTGTGCAGCTGTTGTTACCCTCTTTTCATTCTTAGGTCTCAGGTTCCCCCACAGTCTCTTTGCCAACTCTTGCTGTTTCTGCCTTAGCACTTAGGACACATTATAACAATCTGTGTTTGCCCTTTGAGGACAAGGAGCACATCATTCTTGTTTACCACAGAGCAGGTGCAGGTCTGACTCGGTCACTTGGGAAGGTTTTCTGCAGCAGCGCTTAGCTCACTGGCACACAGGCCCAAGTGTGTTCCTGGGGTGGCCCCCCTAGGGCTGGAACAGACCATGGAATGATAGATGTCCAGCTGGGCACAGCCTCAGAGGCTGGCAGCCTATTTGGCCGCCTGTCCCATGCTCCTTGCTGTTTGGCTTTGGGGCCTTAGTAGGTCAAGGGCCAGAAGCAGCCAGGGAGTGGAAGGAGGCTTCATTTCTACAACAGCCGTAGCCTGTGGGGCAAGAACAGGGGTGCCCTTGTGATAAGGTAGAGCTGTCTGGCAGCTGACATGGGGGGCTGATTCGCAGACAAGTGACACCAGGTAGCTTCTGCTTGGTAAAGCATCACCTCAGCAGCACCAAGTGCTTGCAGCTGTCCTCTCTTGGGGTCCAGCTGCCCCATCGCCTTCTTAAACACACTTCTCTTAAGTGTGGGCCCAGCTCTTCTAGATGCTTGTGGGGGGCAGTTGTGGGCCTGAGCCTGCCCACATTCAGGGCGCTGTGGGCAGAGATGGTCTTGCCCACAGGGTCTTGCACCTGGCAGTCTGAACAATGATGATGTCTGGTCATCTCTCCTATTATTCTTCTTTCTTGCCCTTGGATCTGCTCCAGGATTTATTTCTGAATAAATATAGAAAGCCATTGCCCTTCTTAACCTCAAACCCACTCAGCAGAGTTCAGGCAGGCACCTTGTTTGAGAGGAGAAACTGCCTTGGAGGAGGTCAAACTGAGTGATCTGGCGGGGAGGGAACAGTACCACAGTCTTCTGCCCAGATCATGCTTTCCCAACTCTCTGGGCCTGGGGAAACCTGAAGATGTGTTTCCAGAGACATCAAGAGAGTCTCCTAGGTTGTGCCATGTCAAATACACCCCAGTTTGAAATAGCAGCCTTAGAGTTTGACCCTGTGGCCCTTCTGGGCCCTGCTATTCTCTCAAGCATCTGCTTGCACTTGAGAAAGGTTCCCACCCCCTTCTGTTGTGTGAGTTTCTGTATTAAACTGACTTTCTCTGGGCTTAAAACAGGTCTCAAAATCCTGCTGGGAAACCAGTTCTGTTCCTTCCACCACTGTCAGTTCTGAGTCATCATTGGATTTCTGGTGACAAAGCCCCTTGGGTAGAGAGGGAGTGGCCAGCTGGCTGGCAAGGCAACACACAGCTGAACCCCTGGAGCCCAGGAAGGATTGCTGCCCCCCTGGATTCTGTGACCCACACAATTCCATCAGATTTCTGAATCTCAGAGTTGGAAGGTCTTGGGATCTCCTGGGGTGGGATATGGTGCCCGGTCCACCCAGGGTCTCTGCTCAGGTAGCTTGCGCCTCACAAAGCCAGCTCTCTGCCATGGCCTGTCCGCAGTGCCCTGAACCTCTTCTGAACTTCCTCACGTTTCTGTTGTGTCCTGGAGACGCCACCGCCAGTGAGGACTTGATCACCGCAGGCTGTGGGCTCTGTGCTGGGCACACTTCCACCTTTGGGCCTTCATTCCCTCTGGAACTCTAAAACTGCGGGTCCTGTCTGCTGCCTGTGGGGATGTGAACCGTAAGAGAGCCTCCTGTTCTTCAGTGTTGGGTCCTGGTGCCCAGCAGGCTCCCCTGGGGGTGCTGAGTGAGCACCCAGCTGTCAGGAGCCTCAGAGCACTCTCTGAGTCTGTGCAGGTCTGCAGCTGTCAGGGATCCCCAGGCTGATGTCCTCACTGGGCCAGCCGTCTCCTGGGATGTGGGTCACCTGTCCTTCCTTAGGCCATGTTGGGAGTGCCTTTCACCTCCAAGTGAGATTTGAGAGAGGAGTTTTGGAAGCGCTGTCAGGAGCCCTTGCGCACGCCTCAGCTTAGTGGCAGGAAGGGGGTCACTGCCGACCCAGCCCCCTCTGCTTCCTGTTGAGTCAGCCCTCCCAGCCTAAGAGCGTGTGTGGAGACACAGCCCAGGCGCCCCCCCGGGCACCCAGCAGCCCTCATGGGCACGGCTTCCCCTCCCTCCCCCGCCTCCAGGATGTGTTCGAGATGCGCTTTGCCAAGATGCCGGATGAGCCCGAGGAGCCTGCCGCAGCTGTGTCCTCCCCGGCAGTGCCGCCTCCCACCAAGGTTGTTGCCGCGCCATCCTCCAGTGACAGCAGCAGTGACAGCTCCTCAGACAGTGACAGCTCCACCGACGACTCGGAGGAGGAGCGGGCCCAGCGGCTGGCCGAGCTGCAGGAGCAGGTGAGGGCCCCCGAGGGCGGGGGCAGCCCGCTGGGGGCAGGGGCGCACACGGGCTCCTGGGCTTCGCGTGCCAGCTGGCCCCCTTGTGCCTAGTCAGTGCATGTTCATACTTATACGTACATTGTGGGTATGGACGTGGGCTGACATGGCCGTTCTCTGGGCAGAAGTCAGGTTCTGGAACTTTCTGGTGTCTGGAAGGAGGTGGTTGAGCCAGTTTGTCCATCTCCTGGGGCTTCCTGGATGCTCCTCTCCCTGCAACTTGGCCTTTAGAGCCCATACGTGTCTATACACTCTTGCCCCGCCGCTTCAGGGACCCTCTTCCTGGGACCAGTGATGGTCATGGGGCTTCAGTGTCAGCTTCTCTGACAGGGAGGACACTGGTCTGCCCTGGGGGTTTAAGGGTCTGGGTGGGCCTGGGCCCTGTGGATATCTGGTGAGACGGCAGGTCATGACAAGAGTGTGTCTTGTTTGTCTGCACCATAGCTCAAAGCCGTGCACGAGCAGCTTGCAGCGCTTTCACAGCCCCAGCAGAACAAACCAAAGAAAAAGGAGAAAGACAAAAAGGAAAAGAAAAAAGAAAAGCACAAAAAGAAAGAGGAAGTGGAGGAGAATAAGAAAAGCAAAGCCAAGGAACTTCCTCCCAAAAAGACCAAGAAAAATAACAGCAGTAACAGCAGCACGAGGTCTGTGGCCGCCCCCGCTTGACAAATGCCCCCTCTCTGGGACGGGCCTCGGAGGGAGGATGGTAGGGCGTGGTGGGTAGCGAGACGCCCCCAGCTTACCGATTTTGGTCTCAACCTCAGCTGCGCACTCACAGAAAGGTGTTGCCAGTGTCCCCTGTCCCCTGTGAAGACCACTGGGAGGGGGTGTAGAAGCCTCCCCAAGCCCTAAATGAAGGGATGGGTGCCCCCTTTCTGCAGGGACCCATTCCTAATGGTATCTGCATCACCCCTTCGCAGCAAGAAGGAGCCAGCACCCTTGAAGAGCAAGCCCCCTCCCGCGTATGAGTCGGAGGAAGAGGACAAGTGCAAGCCCATGTCATACGAGGAGAAGCGGCAGCTGAGCCTGGACATCAACAAGCTGCCTGGCGAGAAGCTGGGCCGCGTGGTGCACATCATTCAGTCACGGGAGCCCTCCCTCAAGAACTCCAACCCCGATGAGATCGAGATCGACTTCGAGACCCTGAAGCCATCCACCCTGCGTGAGCTGGAGCGCTATGTCACCTCCTGCTTGCGGAAGAAGAGGAAACCTCAAGGTGCCCTTCGGCCCTCTGGGGTGGGGCTGGGGGTTCCTGGTCCTGGTGAGGGAGAGGGCTGGCAGGTGGGGCCAGGTGCTGCCCATGCACCCCTATTAGCGAGGCCCCATTGGCACCTTTAGTTAACTTGGCCTTCCAATCCCAGCCCTCTCCCTCTGCAGGCTGTTTAAATTTCCAATTATGAAGTCTGTGTCCTCGACGTGGAAGCCTCTGGAGGGTTGTGACATCAATCTTGACCCTGGACTGTGGGGCACCTTTCTTGATCTCTCTGGCAGATTGCCCTCGGGGTCCTAAGCCTTGCTCTAACCACCAGCAGTCTTCATCCTCAGTTGCTGCCTCTGAGTCTTCCCCAAAAGGCACCGCCCGCGGCCCCGCCCCGGCCTTTTTGGGGTGGGGGACATGGCTAGGAGGAAAGCATTAGATTGGCACTGTGCCTGCCTGCTGTCTTCTCTAGTTCCTTGTGACCTGCTCTGCAAGTCTTCCAAGTAGCTCTTTGGTGTTATCAATGCCTTGTCTTGGCTCATAGTTCTGTCTCAGGACCCGCAGGGTTTAGGATTTGAGTCAGGGCCTTGCACACAGCCTTCATCCCAGCCCAGACTAACATGGGGTCCCTGGCACCCCTCCCCTCTGTTCAGGGTGGCACACAGTGATACCCGCCTCCCTCTGCACAGCAAGGTGCCGGGAGGGCCCCCGGGGCCCACCCTCGTCTCGCTTTGTCTCGGATTGTCACGTTCCCTTAGGCCCTCTCCCCACTGCCAGAGAAGTAGCTGAGGGAGCATACTCCAGCAGTCCCTGGTGAGGGAGTTCCCTCCTGCCCTGGTCTCCCAGTCCTCAGTGAACTCTGAGCGGGTGTTTGGAGAGATTGAAGGGGCCTTGAAAGTTGAGTATAAGCCAGGATTTTGGCTGTTGTGCATGGTAGGCTAGCTGCACCCTTGGGAAGTGTGTGTAGGGCCGGGGTCTGGAAGGACAGCAGCCGGGCTTTGGGAGCAGCTCTCTGGCTCATGGGGCTCTGGGCCCTGCCTGACTCTTGTCCCCGTTGCTTTATTGCAGCTGATAAAGTTGATGTGATCGCTGGCTCCTCCAAGATGAAGGGCTTCTCATCCTCAGAGTCGGAGAGCACCAGCGAGTCCAGCTCCTCTGACAGCGAAGACTCTGAAACAGGTTAGGTGTCTTTGATGTAGTCTCACTGCACTTCTGCCTGTGTTTTTGTCCAGGCTACCAGGGAGCAGAGACGGCAGTCATAAGAGCCTGCGGGGCCCTCCCATCTGTCCATCTTCCTGGTCACCATGCTGACCTGTACCTGGGGTGGTGGGTATCCCAGCACCTACCTCCACCCCACCCCTGACCTGGGCTGGTGGAGGAGACAAGTGGCCAGTGGTGTTGACCCTACAGAGCCCTGGGAAAGGAGGAAAGGGGGCAGATGATGGAACTGATCTTCGCGTGACCCTGCCCCGCCTCAGAGTCCCCCAGCGGCACCGTTGCCTGCAACTCGGCCCTTTCAGGTGACGTGCTTCGGCAGGTGTGGAGCAGCCTGCTTTTGGCCCCGCTGTTCTCGGGGCTTAGAGCACTGCCGTCCTCCCCGGAGTTTGCTCACTGCTGCATTGGCTGCTCCTAACTGCACGCACTTGGACATGCGTGTCCTGTACCTCTAACAGTTCCTTCTCTCCAGTGCACCACGGGCGTGCACGTGTGCCCCCTGGTGCGGCTGAGCCGCAGCCTTGACGTGGGAGGCGGGGGCAGATGGAGATGCCTAGAGCTGTGCTAGTGGTGGGGCAGGGGACCTTTCCTCCAGACACAAGCATTTCTGGTTATTCTCAGGGGAGCTGATGCTCAGATTGGCCCAGAGGAGAGGCTGGGAAGAAGCCTGGTGACTAGGCTGCTCTGTGAGGTGGAGCTGACTTTCTGTTTCTGAGTGAATAGGGTTGGTGGTGGGCAGGCAGGTGTCTTCATCGGCTGAGTCGACAGTCTGCAGACCACCCACAAGCCTGCCTTGGGCCCGTCCCTCCAGGCAGGCTGCAGTGTGCACATCCACAGCGGGCAGCAGGACTCCTGGCGTATTCTCCCGTGTACCTAACCCTGTCTCTGATACTTCATTGTGACTGGGAGTAAACGACACACTCCCCTTAGTTCTCATAGATAGATAATGTGATCTGGTGTGCCGAGGAGGTGTGAGGATTATCTGCAGCAATTGAAAAGAGTGGTGCTGCAGTGAGATGTGTGGGTCCTGTGGGGCAGGGGGTTCCTGGACCTTGTCACTGTTCTTTTCCCCTTGTAAGGACACCAGGTTTCCCAGGGGAGGGGGAGGGGAGCCTTCTCTAGGACATCAGTGCTCTGGACTAGCTCATTTTCAGTGGGCCCAAGTGATGTGAAATCCATTGAGGATGTTCTGTATTTATTGAGCTCCTGTGGTATGCAGAGACTGCTGTGGGTAGTTTGCTGGTCACCTCTCTATCCTTTACCCTTTTTTCTTTCTTCCTGACCAGCTCCCCCTTCCAGTGCATTTTTTAGAATCTGCTGGCCAGTAGGGGGCACCACACCCCATGCTTGCTGAGGCAGAGTGGGGCCTCGGGCCAGGGCCCAGCGCCCTCCGCTGAGTGAATGGCTGTATTCTTGGGCTTAATTAGCATTCCAGGTGGCTGCTGACTTCTCAATCTCAGTTCCAGCCAAACCACAGGTTTGCCTTTGCTTCTGAGGTTTTATACCTCCTGTGTTTTCTAGCAGGCTTCTCCTAGGAGGGGTTTTGCAGCCTTTTCTCATAAGAATCTGAGCTACCAAAGAAAACCCAAGATTGAAACTGGCAGAGGACCTGATGGCTAAAACAGCGCGACCAGGCCCCACCCAACGTGGCACCTTAGGGTGTCATGACCATCATAACCCGGTGTCCCAGTCGTTAATCTGTGACCGTGGCCTTTGTCCCTGACTCCTGAGTGCCTTACACCCCTCCTGCTGCCGCCTCCTGTGGAGTAACCATGACGGCATTTCCAGCAGCTCTCTGCTGCTGCCGAGATTTTTTTTTTTTCCTTCACATTTTTCCCTCCTTTAAAGAAAGTGGAAAGATTGTGCAACAAGTAATCTGAGAGTCCTGGGAACAGCTGTCCTGGCGGGAAGGAGGGCGAGATTTACAGTCTCGGAGCCGCCAGCCTGCAGGCTCCCAGGCTCCGGCAGTCCAGCCCTGGCGGCTCCCTTCGCTGCCTCACCTCCTCCCCAGGCGCCCTCCCCACCTTGGTTTTGCGAGGCTGTCCTTTGTCTTCGTGGTTCTGGCTTTTCCTTTGCCATCTGTGTGCTCTGGAGAGCTCCGGGGGCCGACTGAGAGCTTCTGCTCTTGGGAGGGACCCACCCTGTAGGTTTGTGTCCTGCACCTCAGATGCTCCAGGTCTCAAGTGGGGGCCCGTGCCCTGGTTTCAGGGGATGGGCTGTCTGCCACCACCTTCCTGCACAGGAAACTGCTTGCTTGCTGGGTGGTTCCTCATGTGGGGTCCATGGAGCTGGGTAGATTGCTGTGACTAGGTACAGGTGGTTCTGCCTTGGCAGGGAGGGGGGGTGGGGGGAACTAGGGGTATTTCTCTTGGTCTTTGGGGGCTTAACTGTTTCACCCTTCTTGTTCTTGTGTTTCCATTTGGATTAGAGCCGAAATTCCTGAAGGGCTTGTGTTTGTCATTTCTGCCAACACAGCCTCGGACATGAATCACCAAAAGAAACTGACCAGAGGCACTAAATTGGGGCTGGGGCAGTGGCACGCGGTCTCATTTCTGGCCACTGCCCACAGACAAGGGTGCTGCCAACTGCTCAGGACAGGGCTCTGGTTATTGGGACAGGGCTCTGGTTATTGGGACAGGGCTACTGTTCAGGGATGCGGTGCATCCACAGACGGGTCGGGGGGGGTCTTTCTGTCCCAGGCCACCGTGTACACCTCCTCCCTTGAGCAGCATGCAGCACTGTTGGCCAGACCCACCATGTCTTTTGAACCCAACTGTTACCTGAGTCATAGTCTTCCATTGAGCTTTGACTGTGGTTAAACTCTGAATCTGCTTGAGGGTTTAGTATTGGGACAAAGACAGTGGTACAAGGGCCTCCCACTGCCCCTGAGCCAGCGTAAACTTTCACCCCATCCCATTGCTGATGTCTGGCTCCTCCCCAGTGCTACCCACAGGTTTTATGGGCACACAGGGCTGGCCAGTACCTCCTGTCCCTCTCAGGAGCATCCCTAGCCTGCCCTGGGATAGGAGTTCAGAGCATTCTCTTGGACTTGGTTTTGGTCTTCTAGTTGCAGAGGGAGCATGCACCAGCTATTTTAGTCTCCTGGTTTCCTTTTCCCAGGATCGGAGCATGTGGGTGTTTCTTAATAGCTCCAGGGGGAAAAGGAATGCTGTATGTTTTGGAAAGATTTGAGCTGGAAAGTGCAGACAGAGGCTGTGGGGCATTCTTCCTAGACAACCAGCCTCAGCTTCCACGACCCTGGGTCTTGGTTCTTGTCCCATCTTGAGGCCTGCTGCTGCCCACTCCAAGGGTGTGATGCTTGCTCTTGGGGACGGGCTAAGTCCCTGGCTGGGGTGGGGGCAGGAAGAGATCTGGAGGATGGGGCTATAGCCAATCTGCCTGCAGTGCCAGGTGACCCCTCACACCCACACACATGCAGGGAGGGATTCGAGGGCTTCACGGGCGAGGGCGAGCCTTGTGGAATGTGCCTTGAATGAGAGAGCAGCCGGTGGGCGGGTTTTTCCCACACACGCACACACTTGGGGACCATGGGAGTGCAGTGTCGGTTGCATCCGTGATTCTAACAGAAGCATCTGCTCTGCTCTGTTGGTGGGAAAGAGCCCCAGCCCCTCTCCCCAGTCAAAGGAAGCTGCATTCGATTCCTGGGAAAAAAGAAAGGACAACTTTCTTCCTCAACTTTTTTTTATTTTTAATTCGTTCTCTTAACAGTATATGTCACTGGCTCCTCTTTCTTGTAATTTTGTTTTGTTTCTTGGCGTTCAGAGGAATGCAGAGGCTGTTAGCTAGAGGTCTTGCACTCCAGAGCTCCTTTCTTAGGGGCATTCCCTCCTTCCAGCGGAGCCCCAAGGCAGGGTCAGCATTACCTCGCTGAGATAGGGTGCAGAAAAGCGGATCCTGGGGGGTAACAACAATCAGTGGGTGCCCAGTGGGCGTGGCACACCACGCAGGACTTTAGAAGTGATGCAAGGAGAGGAGGACAGGTGGGCTAATCTCTCAGCAGCAGAGCCCAGCAAAGGAGACCCCAGCACGCAGTGGGCACACATGGAGCTCGTTACTGGAAGCCGTTCTGTTTAGAGGCATGAGCCGGCTCAGGCGGTTCTGGAGACATCCATGCGTGCCTGATCTGAGGCCCTTCTCAGGGGAAGGTGGGCTTGTCCCCACCCACAGCTGGCCAGGCAGGGGGTGGAGCTCCCAGTTGCGACGCTGTCTTCTCGTGCCCTGACAGCAGGCGGGGCACCGGAGGCTGGCTTGGTCTGCAGTTCTTCTGTTCTTGTGACTTGAACGGTACATTCCACACCATTTCTCTCACACTGGTTTCTCTCTCCCTCTACGTAGGTCCTGCCTAATCATTGGACACGGACTCTTAATAAAACGGTCTTCAGTTCCAGATTCCTTCCCAGCAAGCTATAGCTTAAGTCCATTTTCTTCCGTGAAAGGGACAGGACTCCATCAAGTTATGGAATTCCTCAGAGCCCTGGGCCTGTCCCCCGGGGTGGATTAGTCATGTCCAGCAGCTCACACCTAGTCCCGCCTCCGGGAAGGCTGCCTGCCTGGCCGCCCGCCCGCCCGGGCCTCCTGTGTAAAGACTGCCTGGCTGTTCTGCCCAGCCTCCCTGGTCGTCTGGGGTCCTCTGAGTGGGTGGCATCTCCCAGAGGGTGATGACAATCCCCCTGCACACACATTCATGTGGTGCTGCTCCGTGTGCAAGGCCCCATCACAAACACGTTTTCTGTCTTCACCCCTCCCTCTTTTGGGGGGACTCTGGATCCTAACTGCTTCCCTCCTGGACCTTCCGATGATGTTAGCCCAGGGAAGATCTCACTCAACTCAGCCTCAGGAAGAACACTGTAACATCTAGAGCTTCCCCAAGTGAGGAGCGAGGCTTTAGAGGCGAGGCCAGCTGGGCCCATGGCTCCTCGGGGCTGTCCCTCAGTCTACCTTCTCTGGTGACCCACGCGGCTCTGTTGGCCAGAGGCTCCCACCAGCCACAGCTGACTCTCAGCCCCCCGGAGTCCTCTCTCCATTGTCATTGTTCCCACTGTTGTCTGTTGGGCATCTTCCCAACTTCTTTGGCCTCTTCTCCTAAAGTCGCACAGGGAAAGCACCTCCTAGGCGGCAGCCTCACTCCTCCCTTCCCAGGTACATAGATGCAGACTGCAGGAGCTGCCAGGCAGGCTGGGAGTGAGGGACATCTGGGGAGATGTGGCCGTGCCTCCGGCTGACCTGACTCCTCCAGCCCACAGTCCTCGCCCCCGCTGGGCTAGGGCGACCTCGCCTCGGGATCTGGGCTAGTAGTAGCATGAAAGGGCTGGACCAGTCAGTGGTGAGGGCATTGGAGCCTTTGGGCCCTCTTCGTGCACATGCAAGTACTCCCCTCAGTTCATCCCCCAAGAGTGATGGGAGTCACTGGGTGGGCCATATCATCCAAGCCCTCTGAGAGGCACTGGATAGGCTTTTTTTTTTTTTTTTTTTTGGCTCTAAAAATAAACATCAGCCCTTTTTTGGTCATGAATCCAACATCTCAGCAGAAAACTGCCTGGCGTGAAAAGTCCCCTAAGGAATAGTGTTTGTTTTAAATGTAGTTGGTGTGTACTTCGAGGCCTGACTGTCTCCTGGCATTTTGGGATCAGCCTCCTGCACCTGGGAGCGAGCTTGAGGAGGTGCAGTTGGCCAGCGCCTGCATGGAAGCCCTGGCCCCCTCCCCAGCTCCTTGGGACCTTGGGCCCAAGCAGCTGTAACTGCCCCAGACTGGCCTTGGCCTTGGCCTTGGGTTCTGTGCTCAGCCTCCCCGGAGCCCCTCGGGCCCTGCGGTGATACTTGGGAGTTCCTCAGCTGCTCCCGGATCCTCCAGCCGGTCGGCTTCCAGTTGAGCTCATTTGCCAAACAGACTATTTTGAGCTGCCCTTTGGCCTGTTCCTGATGTGTTTCCAGTACTGCTTGGCCTGGCTTGGGTCCGGGGGCTTCATGCCCAGAGATTCCCACAGGACAGTTGGGAAGCTGCTGGCATTGTCTTTCTGGGAAGATTCTGCCGTCTTGGAACAAATGGCAGGCTAGATTCCCACGGCGTCAGCCTGTGTGCCACCCCCACCCCTTCTCACTCGTGGGCACAGAGGCTGTAGCCCCAGGCCAGCTCTTCCGTGTGATCCTTACACTTCTCTGTTCAGGGGTCCTGTCCTTGCCCATGGTGCTTCCGTCTGACAGAGAACTCGATTGTTTGATTCGGGCTGGCACTGGTGCCCCAGGAAGAGCAGAAGCCCGCCCACCCTTGCGGCAGCCTCCAGTGTGCGGGCGGCGGGCGGTGCCAGCCGGGCCAGAGAAGTTGCTCTCGGGAAGGGTCGGGGGCCAGGTGTCTGCTGGTGCGGAGGCTTCCAGTCGGTTCAGTTGAGGGGACTCTGCACCTCTGCCCTTGCCTTCCGTCCCATCTCCTTCCCTTGAGTTGTGGGGGAGTGGGGAGGAATCAGTGTTTTAATCAGATTTTACAAAAACGTTTTAATTCTTTGTACAATTACCATCCTATGTAAAGCTGAAATTTGTGTTGAGTTCAAGATGTTCATGGAATAAAGATCACACAGTACTTGAGGCCATCTTCATGTAACCCTCTCTAGAGAGTTTTGTGTGGGGGGTGTCTTGGGGCTGGTGTGTGGTGAAGTTGTGCACTTCCTGTCTTGTCTTCCTACCATGAGGCGAGTGGTGCACATGAGCCAGATGTGACGGCCCCAGATAGACTCTGGCACCCCTTGGTCCCCGCCACTGGCCCCTTGAGTCCTCTGGTCCTGGTGGTCTTCTGGGTGCCTCCCACCTTCTCTCCCGCCCTAGGCAAGCCCCGCCCCGCACTTCTGTGCAGCCGGGGGGGGGGGGGGGGGGCGGTGGGTTACTCCTGGTGACCTTTCTAAGGCAGCTGATCGCCACTCCCTGGATCCTTAAGGGCCCCAGTGCAGTTTGTCCGCACTAGTTCCCCGGGTGGGCCTCTCTTGCTCATGGCTACAGGGAGGTGGTGAGAGCTCAAAGCCACTTGTCCCTCTTTTGTGTCGGAAAAAAGTGTTTCCCCACCAAGGCCATGAGATGACAGGCCACCCCAACCCCATCCAACCTTCTCCCTGCGACACAGTGTCCTATCCTGGTCATACTTAATGCACTGACCACCTTCCTACCCCAGGTCCTCCAAAGGCAGACCAGGGTGTGAGCAGCTGCCCCCAGCCTCCCTTGAACTGCAGTTTCTGTTGCTAAAATCCATGCTGGGAGAGGAGCCGGCCTGGGAGAATGCCCCGCCCTCTTCCTCCTGTGTGCCGTGCTCCAGCTTTATGCGTATAGGGTCCCCTGGGCCCTGGGCTTCCATCCTCTGTATTGTCCAGCATTCCTTCACCCTGAGGCTCCTGGACACCCAGCTTGTGGCCCAGTCCTGCAAATTACACAGACTGCTCCCTTTCATATGTGTGACTCAAGAGTGTCCTTTCTACCAGCTTTCATATGTGGCCCGTAAAGTCCTGAGCCCTGTATTCCAGCATCTCTAGTATCTGGGGTTGGGGCTGGGCCTGCAGTTCCCGCACTCCAGGCGTCCCTAGTCACTGCCACTCGTGTAAAAACGTGTCTGTAGCCACAGAGTTTTGTGTCACTGTCTTACCTCTTGCATGGAACGGTGAGTTCTGGCAGGGCACGAGGTCCCCCTCACTCCTCTACGTGGCACGCTGCACCAAGGCCATACGCCTCTCCAAAGCTTCCTTAGCACTGCCCTCCATGAAGCAGCTACCAGCAGAGCTAGCCCCACTTTGGGCAAAAAGCGTGTGTCCTCCAGCACCAGCAGCAAGAGCCAGCATCCTGGTGAGGAGCGCAGGGGAGGCCAGGCGAAGCGACGAGGTGCCTCTCAGTGACAGGAATCCCAAAGGCACCACGGGTGGGGTCCCAAGTCCCCCGTGGTGGTCGGCGGCTTCACTTCCCAGCCCTCAAGCCCTGGCCCAGCTTCCCCTCCCTGTCTCCCGCTCCAGGATGTGCACCCAGCAGTGTTTGGTGAGGGGAATCCATGGGCCAAAGTTCCTTAGCATGAAGCTCTCTCGAGTGGGGGCAGAGGGGCTCAGGCTGGCTCTGGCACACTCCTGACAGAGACGGGCAGACCCCACATGTGCCCCTACAGTCGCGGCAGCAGGCCACGGGCTCCTGAGAAGCCAGGACGCGCACTGTTTTCTCCCTGCAGCCCATGGACCGTGTCCCAACACAGGGACTTCTCTGAGGCTGGTCTCCTGAGAGGAAGAGGAGTCTGGCCAGCGGCCGCCGCCTCTGCTGGCCGCGGCATTGGTGCCTCCCTCATTGGTTCCTGGGTCGTCCAGAGAGGCTGGCTGGCTGGCTGGCTGGCTTCTCTCCCTCCACAAAGTGCTCAAGCTTGTCAGCACTTCCCACTTGTCAGCACTCTCTTCACCTGCCCCCCGGCTCTGTGGCCAGGGCCTTGGCCCATGCTGGCACCAGTGGTCCCTGTCACCCCAGCCCATGCATTTCTGCATCCCTTCGGACAGTGGGAAGGCACAAGTGTCAGAGGGCAGTGCAGCTGGAGGCCGCCGAGTTGTTACTTGTAGGCTGTGTGGCTGGGGCAAGTCCCTCAACTTCTCTGAGCCTTACTTTGCTAATTTCTTAAATGGACAAGATCATTTCAAGCCCCGTGGTGGTCCCAGGGCGAAGCAGGTTGGGGTGCAAATGCTCAGGTCCCCGTGGAGGCCTCTGACTCGCCAAGAAGGGGAGATGGTTGGGCCAGGAGGTCCTTCGTAGCACAGTCCCCCATGCGTTCGGGTGTGCTCTTGTCATGGAGCTGGTGGTCTGGAGTTTGGCAGGGAAGCTAGGCATGGTCCCCGCTAGGAAAAAAAGCCGCAGGCAAAATGGGTAGGTGACACCCACACACCTTTCCCTCCCTTGTGACCCCCGCCCCAGACGGAACCCGGCCACCCTCCCTCTCACCGGTCACTTGGCCCTTCTCCTGAAGTCACACTTTGTTTTCTCTTTGCTCCGTGTGGAAGGCCCGCTCCCAGTCTTCTCCCCTAGAGCCTCACCGCCTTCTCTTTACCTCCACAGAGATGGCTCCGAAGTCCAAAAAGAAGGGGCACCCTGGGAGGGAGCAGAAGAAGGTAGGTGGTTTCGGGGGCATCTGGGAGCAGGTGGGCAGTGGCCGCCTGCCTGTGGGGGCCCTGGCGGGGAGGCCTCCCGCGCCTCGCGCAGATGCGCGCGGCCGGCCTCACGTCAGCCTGTCCTGCCTGCCTGCAGCACCACCACCACCACCATCAGCAGATGCAGCAGGCCGCGGCCCCTGTGCCCCCGCCGCCGCCGCCACCACCCCAGCAGCCCCCGCCGCCGCCGCCGCCCCAGCAGCAGCCACCGCCGCAGCCCCCGGCCCCGCCCCCGCCCCCGTCCATGCCGCAGCAGGCGGCCTCTGCGATGAAATCCTCGCCTCCGCCCTTCATCGCCGCCCAGGTGCCTGTGCTGGAGCCCCAGCTTCCAGGCAGCGTCTTCGACCCTATCGGCCACTTCACCCAGCCCATCCTGCACCTGCCGCAGCCTGAGCTGCCCCCTCACCTGCCCCAGCCTGCTGAGCACAGCACTCCGCCTCATCTCAACCAGCACTCGGTGGTGTCTCCTCCAGGTGAGCGGCCACCGTGCCCCTCGGATCTGAGCACGCTAACAGGGTGCCCTGAGCGGCCGGTAGAGCCCCTCTTGGCCTCAGCTGTCTGGTCGCTCAGGGGAGATTAGCCGCTCCTTGGGGCCCATTCTGGAAATGACGCCAGGAGCGTGGACAGGACAGGACAGACCTTGCGTAGAGAGACAGTGCTTTGGTGCAGAAGACACTGATTCAGGTCTGCTGGGCCAGGCCTCACAGTGTGAGGTGGGAAAGGATGGGACTCCTCTGCGGCTCCCAGTCAGGGGTAGGGAAGGGGGCACGAACTTTCATCCTGGAAGGGACGTGGGGATGGGGAGAGACCTGGAGCGGGGAGGAAAGTTGAAGGCACGGAGCACAGGGCAGGATGATGCTGGTGGAGGGGGCTTGTGCCTGTAGCCTTCCCCGGATGCCGTCCTGACTCTCGAGTTCTGGGGAAGCCAAGGAGGGTAGGGAGAGGTTGCCAGTTGGAGGGAGACAAGTCAGAGGTCAGGATGGAGGAGAAAGGCTGGGCTGGGGGCCGCACAGTGCGTGAGCCTCACCACCCGGCTCCCGTCCTTGCAGCTTTGCACAACGCGCTGCCTCAGCAGCCATCACGACCCAGTAACCGAGCTGCCGCCCTGCCCCCCAAGGCTTCCCGTCCCCCCGCTGTGTCACCCGCCCTGGCCCAGCCACCCCTCCTCCCGCAGCCCCCCATGGCTCAGCCCCCCCAAGTGCTGCTGCAGGAGGACGAAGAGCCACCTGCCCCACCCCTCACCTCCATGCAGATGCAGCTCTACCTGCAGCAGCTGCAGAAGGTGCAGCCCCCCACACCACTACTCCCTTCCGTGAAGGTGCAGTCCCAGCCCCCACCCCCCCTGCCGCCCCCTCCCCACCCCTCCGTGCAGCAGCAGCTGCAGCAGCAGCAGCAGCCGCCCCCGCCACCGCCCCAGCCCCAGCCCCCACCCCAGCAGCAGCACCAGCCCCCCCCACGGCCCGTGCACATGCAGCCCATGCAGTTCCCCGCCCACATCCAGCAGCCCCCGCCGCCCCCCGGCCAGCAGCCACCCCACCCACCCGCAGGCCAGCAGCCACCCCCGCCGCAGCCTGCCAAGCCCCAGCAAGTCATCCAGCACCACCCTTCACCCCGGCACCACAAGTCGGACCCCTACTCCACTGGTAAGTGTCCCCACACTGCCCCCAGGCTTTGGGGAGGCTGGCTCCAGGCCCAGAATCTCGTCCCGAGGAGCCAGGTGGGTCAGTTGGGCGCGGCAGCCTGAGATGAGCTCAGAGTTGAGCCTTGGAGGCTCTGGGTTGGTTGGAGAGAGGCAGCAGAAAAGGAGCAATGATACTTGATGTTTTAATCAGATGTAGCCTGATTAAAAGGTAAACGCGCTAAAAGATAGCACACAACTTACCAGGAAGCCACCTGTGTCTTCTGCTCCCAGCCTCTAGCCTCATGTCAACTGCCCATTTTCAGTCAGCAGCATTGGGCAGGCCAAGCTCTCCTGCCTTCCCTGAGTACTTGTTTTCTAGGTGTCTCTGACCAAAACACTCTGGCAGTGTTCTTGTTGATGTCTCGTGCTGTGGTGACATGTGAGGGTCAGAGCTGAGGGTCCTGGGCTTGGCACATAGACTGTGCGGCCTGGCTTGAGGGGCGCTGTGGGTGCTGCCGACAAATTGAGTAAAGCTGTTGGCTTTAGGCTGTGACTATTCCTAAACCCGGTAAAAGCTGCCAGGTGCCAAGCGGCTCGCAGTGCATCCTGAGCTGAGAGCAGCTGGCCATCCTTTCCAGGGAAGAGCAGTAGTGGTCCCAGCAGCTTGCAGAAGTCTGGAGGTTTCCTCGAGCCTGAGACCAGGGGTGGGCTGGTGATGAGGTGCCTTTGGAAGAGTCGGCATCTGGGGCGGGGCAAGTTCCCTCTGGCTACCTGTGCTTACAGGCCCTAGGCCCATTTCCGCCTGAGTTCTGTGGCCTGGAATGGGTCACAGGGAGTGATGTGTGTTGGAGTCCAGCTGGGGGCTTCGGGTCAAAGGCCAAGTTTTTGGAGTCCAAGGAGGCTTGGCAGGTGTCCCTGGGAAGGCCAGCTTGCAAGCGCTGCCCCAGGCTGCCAGGCTCCACTTTATGTGCTGCTGGGGGAGCCACCAGGAGGCAGGAGATGCCTCTATGTCACAGGCCTGGGAGCCATCATCTAGGTCCGCCTCAGAAGGGGCTCCCAAGGGGGCAAGCCGCACGGGGAGCTTGTTGTAGCTGTGTGTTTGGGGATTTCTGGCAGGCCTGGGCCAAGGCTGCCTGGGTTCCCCCAGTGTTGGCTTAGATGAAGGTGGGTGCGCCAGCCCACTTTCTGCAAGAGCCACATGTCCATTGCTTGTTCTGCTGTGGTGTAGGCCAGTCCCAGCCTTCTCCCCACTGTGTGGGCCTTGCAAGTTGAGTTGTGTTGGGGAGGTTCCTGGGCGTCCGGCCTTAGACCCAAAGCAACTGTCCAAGCAGACTGGCCCAGTCACATGGGACAGCTCAGCACCCAGGCTGCCTGCTCTGTGGGATTATTGACATCCCCCGTATTTGACCCAGGTCATACCATGGGACCACCTGAAGAATTATAAAAAGGGCTTAAGTCCAGACCCCACCTAGGCCCAAATGTATCTGTATGAACGCTGTTTTTCCTGACACACAGTGGTATCAGACAACCAGGACTGAGCTCATGGCTCCGTAGAGCCCTGTTCTACAGTGAGTACAGTGAACACAGTGGGCTCAGCTGGTGAAGAATCCACCGGCAATTCAAGAGACCCTGGTTCGATTCCCAGGTTGGGAAGTTCCCCTGGAGAAGGAATTTACCCATTCGGTATTCTTGGTTGGAGAATTCTCATGGACAGAGGAGCTTGGTGGGCTGTAGTCCGTGGGGTAGCAGAGTCGGACACAGCTGAGCCGCTGAGCGCAGTGCAGTGAGCAGAGAGCCCGGATGCCAGGGGCTGAGCCGTTGGAGGGCTTCCCTGGCTGGGATCAGGGCCTGTGGCCTCCACACCAGACTGGCTGATAAGCTCCTTGTTCCTTCTCTTAGGTCACCTCCGTGAAGCCCCCTCCCCGCTTATGATACATTCCCCCCAGATGCCACAGTTCCAGAGCCTGACCCACCAGTCGCCACCCCAGCAAAATGTCCAGCCTAAGAAGCAGGTAAGGGGCAGGGCTAGGCATCAGCCCCCAGGGGTGGGGGCGAGCGGGACCAGAGGTGGCTGTCTGCCTCACCGGCTGCCATGCCTGTGCTGTCCCAGGAGCTCCGCGCGGCCTCCGTGGTCCAGCCCCAGCCCCTGGTGGTGGTGAAGGAGGAGAAGATCCACTCACCCATCATCCGCAGTGAGCCCTTCAGCCCCTCACTGCGGCCGGAGCCCCCCAAGCACCCGGAGAGCATCAAGGCCCCCGTCCACTTGCCCCAGCGTGAGTGCCCTCCCCAGCCCCAGCAGAGGTGGAGGGCCTCCGGCCTGCACTGGGCGTGAGCTTTCTGCGGGCCGGTCAGCCGTGCCCTACTGAGGTGGGCAGGGCCGGTGCCCATGGGCTGTTTGTGTTCCAGGGCCTGAGATGAAGCCTGTGGATGTCGGGAGGCCTGTCATTCGGCCCCCTGAGCAGAATGCACCCCCACCAGGGGCCCCAGACAAGGACAAACAGAAACAGGAGCCGAAGACGCCAGTTGCACCCAAAAAGGTAGGAGTGGTTGGACACAGGAATGCCCTTCACTCCCACCCCACCCAGGGCACCCAGGAAGGTGCCTTGGTGGGTGCGTCCTCAGACTCTGGGCCTCTCAAGGAGCCCAGGCACAGCAGAGTCCCTCACCAGCCTCATGGTCTCTCTGCCTCACAGGACCTAAAGATCAAGAACATGGGCTCCTGGGCGAGCCTGGTGCAGAAGCATCCCACCACCCCGTCCTCCACAGCCAAGTCCTCAAGTGACAGCTTCGAGCAGTTCCGCCGTGCCGCCCGGGAGAAGGAGGAGCGCGAGAAGGCCTTGAAGGCGCAGGCCGAGCACGCAGAGAAGGAGAAGGAGCGGCTGCGGCAGGAGCGCATGAGGTGGATGTGGGATCTGGGTGGGGCATGGGGCTCCCTGGACTCAAAGCCGTCCCCATGTGGACGCTGACCCGGAGCCCTGCCCTGCTCAGGAGCCGGGAGGATGAGGATGCTCTGGAGCAGGCCCGGCGAGCCCATGAGGAGGCACGGCGGCGCCAGGAGCAGCAGCAGCAGCGTCAGGAGCAGCAGCAGCAGCAGCAACAGGCAGCTGCTGTAGCTGCCGCCACCGCCCCCCAGGCCCGGAGCTCCCAGCCCCAGTCCATGCTGGACCAGCAGAGAGAGCTGGCCCGGAAGCAGGAGCAGGAGCGAAGGCGCCGGGAAGCGGTGAGCCGGGGGGCTCTGCTGGGCACCGCTGGGAAGAGAGCCACCCCTGGGGGAGTTGAGAAAGGGGTCCCTGAGGTTCAGGAGGTGGCAGGGTGCAAGCAGAGAGCCACTGGGCAGGAACTCAGGGCCAAGCTCTCCTTGTTTGCTGTGCTGGCCTCTGAGCCTCCGGGGTGCTCAGGCCTCATTCGGGAAGTGCTGCAGTGTGGGCTTGTGGGGAGAGCGATTGCTGGAGGGAGAGCGATTGCTGGAGGGAGGGCTGAGGTTCTGGGAGCCACGGCAAGAGCAGGGCACCGAATTTCACTTCCTTCCACCCTCCTCTCTCCTCCAGATGGCAGCTACCATTGACATGAATTTCCAGAGTGATCTGTTGTCAATATTTGAAGAAAATCTTTTCTGAGAGCACCTGGGTGACTTCTGACTTTGATTCCTGGCAAAACGTTGACTCTCCATAGTGTTAGGGGCAGCAGTGGAGGCAGTAGCAGCGGCGAGGGGGTGTTTCCAGGCCTGGCTCTCCTGCATGCTATGCCTGGGGCAGGCCTGATGGGCAGCTGAGGATCGCAGAGCCTGTCTGCCTTACAGCCAGCCGGACGTCCTGCCACCCCCACAGGACGTCGGCACAGGGCACACCTCGCCATGAGCAAGTGCTGGCTAGACCCAAGCCCCGAGTCCCCGCGTGTGGGGCAGAGGCCCTTCTCTCTGCCAAATGTCTACACAGTATACACAGGACATCGTTGCTGCCGCCACCGTGACTGGTTTACTGTCCCCAAGAGCGTGACGTTCGTGACGTCCTGCCCGCCGGGAGTCCTTTCCCACACCCCAGCTGCCGCTGCCCACACCCAGAAGACCAGGGCAGGTTTGCAAGAGCTGGAGGTGGCAAGGGCGCTGGCCCACCCCCTTGCTGGCACTGACTTTGCCTTGAACAGACCCCACCCCTCCCTTCCCCTCCCCCCACAAGCCTTTAATTGAGAGCCGCTCTCTGTAAGTGTTCGCTTGTGCAAAAGGGAATAGTGCCGTGGAGGTGTGTGTGTGTCCATGGCAATCTGGAGCGAGGTGACTGTCACACGTGTGTGTGTGGGCCGGCCTCGCCTGGCGAGTGAGGCCACCAACCAAAGTCAGTTCCTTCCCACCTGTGTTTCTGGTTTTGTTTTGTTTTTTTTTTTTTCTATATATATATTTTTTGTTGGATTCTATTTTATTTTTAATTCTCTTCTCCTCCAGACACAATGGCACTGCTTATCTCTGAAATGGTGTGATCGTCTCCTCATTGAGCGGCGGCTGCCACCGCGCTGTGGGTAGTGTGTGACCGTGGCTGTACTGTGTAGTGAAACATAGTTGGCATATCTTTGTTTGAAGTTTGTTGGTGACTCCACCAAACTGGTGTAAAAAAACTCAAAAAAAAAACAAAACAAAACCCACACACACAAAAAAAAACAAAACATAACAAAACACAAAAAAAACTGCCTATATTTTACTGTTTCAAACTTTACTAGTCTATTTTTAATTATAAAACCAGAAAACTGCGTTTTCTTATCCTTTTTTCCTCCCCCCGTTTGTTGGCTTCTTCTTTTTATTTTTAACATAAAATCTGTGTTGTTGTTTTTGTTTTGTTTTGTTTTGTTTTTGAGGTTTTTTTTTTTTTTTTTTTTTTTTTTTAACCAGGAGAGGAAGGGCCAGGGGGTGAGGCGGGCGCAAGGGGCCATAGGCCACAGACTGAGGCAGACTCCCTGTCCGGCACTTGGCCCTACCAACCGGCTGCCCCTTCCTGACTTTTTTTTTTTTAATTTTATAATTGGAGCCCTTGGTGAGGTTACACGTGCCATGAGAACCCACTCTACACCATGACGCTGGCGCCTCAGTGTTGGCCAAACTCTGGAGTCATTGACTGGTGTGACTTTCATACGGTGAATATGCATTTGGTCTGTACTGATCATGGAATAAACACATCTCTCTTTTTTAATGCTGGCGTCTCCCTGATATTTCTTTGTGAACCACCTGTTGTTGCCTAGGCTAGGTCTGCCCACCCCCCGCCCACACACACACACCACCTCGGTACAAGAACTACCACCTGGGACCACCTAGCCTGTCCCTGGGCAGGAGCTGCCCCCTCTAGGCTGAAGCTGTAACTGGGAGCCCAGGCATCCCTCCCTGTGGACTTGAAGTTGGTGACATGCTCCAGCAGGACCTGGCCAAACTCCAGACAGTATTCTTCCCCTTTGCCCTTCCTCCATCCTGATCTCCCACTCACCCAAAGGACTTGAGCCACATCTCCCACCTTGCCTGCCTCAGCCGAACTCCTCCTTTCATTTAAGCTCAGGGTTAACCAGATACTTAGATAATGTACATCCCCCCAGATAGGCTCCTCACCCCCAAGCCTGCTGGGTGGACACCCTGCTGGGCCTGCCTGTGCACCCATCTGCACACACATGCCCCAGTCACAGGGCAAGGGCAGTACTCAAGAGCAGCCCCCAGGATGTAAGATGGAACGTTTATCAGTTACACGTATGGAAAGACACAAAGTGAAACATCTCCAGCACTGTTTATTAACCCACATTCTCCCTTTTTTTCAAGCAGAAAGGCCCTGTATCTTGGGTTTGGGATCTGCCAAACATCCCAACTGATGGTATATTGTAGTTCAGGCATTCAGCCAGAGACCTGCCCCACTCCTGCTCCACACTCCTCCCCACCCTCTTCCCCTCCCACAGCACTTCCTTATAAACAAACCACTGTGCTGGTTCAAGTGTGACTTATATTTTGGTTCCATGGGGTTTCTTCTCATCCTACTCCCTCATTTTTTGTTCCGTGTTTTGTTCAGAAACTTCCCCAGGCCAAGTCTGTTTAGCTGGAGAAACGGTTATGTCTGCACCTTCCTTCTAAAGATTTAACTCTGCCATGGCCCTCTCCACACCTCCTTGAAGGGTGTTTCTCTGACTGGGTTGTAATTAGAACTTGGATCTACTATTTAATTTCTCTGGCCATTTCCCAATCCCTCCCACAGTACTAGAAATCTTAGTTCTATACAAGAGTAAGAGGTGTGTACGAGCCCATACTGTACTGTATGCACGGATCGCTTGGCCAATAATTATGTCAGTGAATCTGAGACTTGTATTAAACACTTTAGACATTTGTAGAAGGGAATTCGTAGACTTTTCACTTATATACTAAAAGGTTTTTTTTTTTTTTTTGTGCAGTTCTCATTGCAAAAATAAACATTTGTACTGAATATAAAATTATCATCCTGTGACTCCTGCTGTCTTTTTAAGGGTAGAGCTTGGGAATTGGGTGTGGGTAGGGGGAATGTAGGAGTCAGTGTTCTGCAACAGCAGAAGAAGGGAGATCCACAAACACCCCCCAGCCATGGCTGGTGTATGCAGCAGCCAGGTTAGAGGCTTCAGAAGGAGGGATTCCTGGATCAAGTGGTTGGAAAATTGATTTGATGGAAAATGTAAGTGAAACCAAAGCCATGATACAGGTTAACTGTGCAAGAAAAGGTAGGTGATAAACGCAAGATGAACAGATGTTTGTATAATATACGCAACGTAATCATAGATCTCTGTTGGGCTCTGAGATGAATTGTTTACTGAAACAGAACCACATAAACCATGATTTCCCTTTAAATAGGCACCTTTTTGGTAATATCACCAAGAAAAACAAGGAATGGTCCTATCTGAACACTGAATGACCTTAAGTATAGAAGTAAAAAACTAGGTGTATAAAATTTTTCCATGAGAAACCAAGAAACTACACTGGTTTGACAGTGGCATACACATCCCCACAGTTCCAAAGTGCCTGTTCACTTGCCTACACCATCCCCAGCCCTTCTGTACTGGCTGCTGTTTTAAAGTTTGCCCTTCCTTCCCTAAATTTGGATTTTTATTACAGATCTAAAGCTCTTTCGATTTTATAGTGATTAAATCACTACTGCAGTATTTGATTAAAAAGATAAATAGGGACCTATGAACCTAATATGGTCCCAGGACAAGTACAATGTTGAGCAGCTTTGACAATACAAAGGCAAAGTTAACTGGTAGATGTAAGTGAAGATTTGGTGATGATGTTCAGTAGCTAAGCCGTGTCCAACCCTTGTGACCCCGGGACTGTAGCCCACCAGGTTCCTCTGCCCATGGGATTTCCCAGGCAAGAACACTGGTGTAGGTTGCCCTTTCCTTCTCCAGGGGAATCTTACGACCCAAGGGTCAAACCTGCATCTCCTGCGTTGGCTTGTGGATTTTACCACTAAGTCACCACGAAAGACCTTGTAAGGGAGGATGAGAGGTGACAAAATCGGGTAAAGTTAGAGGAGGAAACCAGTAGGAAAACTAAACATGGATACGGCTCCTGCAGTGGTGGTGACAATGACAATCAATGCCCCAAATTGGTAATCAAAAGATAAAACCACATAAACACATTTAGAGATAGCTATTAATAAATATCGAAAATCATCCCAAAGACTGCCTCTGGTTTGAGGAAGAGGTGGAACCTAAGACTGAGATTTTTCTCAAGTCCTTGATTGCTGTTGAGTCAGCTGTTAGGCTTCAGGCAAATGACTTAATACTAGAATTTCAGGCTCTTGGTTTATAATGCAGGAAGGTGATAGTATCTACACTTAATAGGATTATTATCAGGGTTAAATAATGAGTAACTTTGAAATGTTTAGGATCTTGGGAGGAAGATTGCAAAACTGGAGGAGGAAGAAGCTACCCTCCCGGGCTTCTCGTCCAACCCTACTTCTGTTTCCTCTTTTGACCAGAGCCCCAGTGATTCGACCAGTCCGGTTCTCTAGCACCCGGGCCGGGCCTGCCCTCTAGGCGTTAAGCTCCGGTCACCACTGGCTGAGTCCCGGTCTCAGCAATTGCGGATTGGCTCCGGGGCTACCTGTAGCCTGCACGTCAATAACCGCCGCTACCCAATCACAGGCGTGCAGGGGCGGGCCAACGGATCCGCTGGACCAACTGGAGCCGGCGCGGGGTCTGCGCCGCTGGACCACCGTTGGAACCAGAGCTTAGTGTAGGTGCTGCTAGGTCTCTCGGAGGCAGACCGAGGGGAGGGTCGCGCGCTCCAGGGAGGGGAACTCCTGGGAGATGAGGGTAGGGGCAGAAGCTTCCGAGGCCTCCTTGGGCCGCGGCGACAGCCCGCTATTCCCTCCTAACCTTCGCCAAGGCACTACCTATCCCCCTTCTTCCGCTTCCGGGCCCGCCTAACCCGCCATATTAGGTTCCCACCCCGCCCCTCCCGCTTCATTGGCCCGTAACCAGGCCGACTCCCAGCTCATTGGTCCATCCCTCTCACCGAAACCATCCAGACCCTTCCCCGGGCCTTCTCCGCCCAACTGAGGTCCCGCCTTCTCCAGGCTCCATCCTCATTCCCAGCCTCCTAAGCCGCGCCCCTATCCCATATAACGCTCTTAGGCCTAGTTGGGGCCCACCTTGCAGCTAGTAGGCCGCACTTACTCTGCATTGCTCCGCCCCTTTGCCCCAGACCCCGCCCATTTCACCCACAATGCCTCCTGTCTTCTGTTCATGCAGGACCCCAGTCTCCCTCTAGACTTTAGACCCCGATCACCCAGCCAACTCCGGCGTCCTACTAGACCCCTGCCCCTTAAGACTCGCCTAAGCCTTTATAGATCCCTCCCACAGCCCGAGCCTTTAGCATCCCTTCTCCCCAAGGCTCCACCCCAACCACCTGAGTCTGGTCCTCGCAGCCTCCTCCCCCGCACCTCGAGCCTTGCTCCCGGCCACTGTCGCGCCCAGGTGTTTATCTAACAGTTGAATTGTAAGCCATGGCAGTTTCGGTCTGAGCCGCCCAGCTCTTCTCTCGGTGCGTTCGGCAAACGACGATACGGAGGGGCTCCAGACCAAAGGCGGCGGGCTTGCCAGCCCAAATTCCGCCTCGCTGCTGCAGCCCGCGCCCCCCGCCCATACCCCAGACGGCAACGCGGTAGTCCCGGGACGCGGCGACATGCCCGAGCTGGTGGTGACGGCGCTACTGGCGCCCTCGCGCCTCACTCTGAAGCTGCTTCGTGCCTTTATGTGGAGCCTCGTGTTCTCGGCGGCGCTGGTGGCTGCAGCTGTCTATGGCTGCATCGCGCTCACGCACGTGATGTGCCGGCCGCGACGCGGCTTTTGCGGGCGCCCCCGGCACACCCCACCGGTCTGCTTGACCGACCCCACGCTGGGAGAGCACTGCTTCCTGATTCTTAGGGTGAGCATGTTGGGGGGGGGGCAGGAGGGGGCGCCGTCACCGGGCTTTCGAGGGTCAAGGATCCTGGAAGGCCGGCTCGTGTTGGACCGGTGCGGAGTGGCAAATGGTTAAATCTAAGTCTGAGTACGCATGTGACCTGGGAGAAGGGAGGTGTTCAGGCCCGGGGAAGAGAGGTTTCCCGGGTCTCAGACTGTGCCCTCCCCCAGAGCTCGGGCCTGCGCTTGCACTATGTCTCTGCTGGACGCGGCAAAGGGCCTCTCATGCTGTTTCTGCATGGCTTCCCTGAGAACTGGTATGTCGGAGGCCCAGGGTCCTGAGCCGCACGGGACCGGATGCGGGAGGGGGTGGGGTGGGGCGGGAGATGTGGAACTTGGACCACTAGAGCACTGAGGAGGCGGAGACAGGGCTGGGTAAACTGGGATCCCCTAAGGCAAAGTTAATCAGGTCTAGATGGAGTGCTGGAGGACAGGGGTCCACACGAAGATAGATGGAGACAGGAGGTCCTGAAGGGATAGGATGCAGAAATATCCATGTTGAGGCTGCCCAGAATCCAGGGCGCAGATGACCTGCTGTGGTTCCCCATCCTCCCTTCTGGGAAGTCCTGAGCAGGAAAGTGGGGGTCACCCCAGGGTCCCTGCTGGGCGTCATGCAGAGGTGCTGCCCTGGTACCCTGACTCAGCCTCCCTCCCTCTCCCGCCTAACAGGTTCTCCTGGCGCTACCAGCTCTGGGAGTTTCAGAGCCGCTTCCACGTGGTGGCTGTGGACCTGCGGGGATACGGCTCCTCCGATGCACCAAAGGATGTGGATTGTTACACCATCGACCTGCTGATGGCAGATATCCAGGATGTCATCCTGGGCCTGGGTAGGGAGGTGCCCCCATCCCAGCCCTAGCCCCCCTCACCCCTGCCTCACCTCTACCTGACATCTGCCTTACACAGTTTCCTCTGACCTCTCCGCCAGGTTATTCCAAGTGTATCCTCGTGGGCCATGACTGGGGTGCACTCCTAGCCTGGAATTTCTCCATCTACTACCCATCCCTGGTGGAGCGAATGGTAGTGGTCAGTGCTGCCCCCATGTCAGTGTACCAAGGTGTGTCAGGGAGTCCTGGATGCTGGAGTGTGCTTGTGTGAAGGGGTGTGTATGTCTGTGTCAGCACCTCTCTGTCCACCTCCAGGGGCTGGGGGCACAGCGGTAAACCTGGGTTCCTTCCCGCATGGTGCTCGCAATCTATAATCTGTGGCAGTACACCTAGGAGTAATCCACATTTTTGTGAGCAGTTACAAGTTGCAATTGCTTTTTTCCCCCCAAGATCTCCTATTTATTTATTTTATTTTTGGCTGTGCTGGGTCTTCGTTGCTGCACATGGGCTTTCTCTAATTGCGATGGGCAAGGACTACTCTTTGTTGCGTTGCACAGGCTTCTCATTGTGGTGGCTTCTCCTGTTGCAGAGCATGGATTCTAGGTGTGTGGGCTTCAGTAGTTGTGACATGTGGGCTCAGTAGTTGTGGCTCCTAGGCTCTGGAGCACAGGCCCAATAGTTGTGGTACTTGGGCTTTGTTACTCCACAGCATGTGAGATCCTCCCACATCAGGGATTGAACCCATGTCCCCTGCATTGCAGGGTGCCTTCTCAACCACTGCACCACCCGAAAAGGCTTTGACAAGGAGCCTGCATAGAGTAACCCACACAAGCCCGCTGGGCTTATGAAAATGTTATTATCCCATGGTCCAGTTGGGGAAACAGAAGCAACTACAATAACATTTGAGGTGTCATTTCTCTGGCCACCCAGTGTCCATCACATCACCTAATTTTAAATCCCAGAATTGTAGTCAGAGCTGTATTATCTCTCACTCTTTTTTTGTTGTTGTTTCTTATCTGTCTCCATCTCCAGCTTCCTGAGGGCATGAGAGTTTTGTCTGTTCCATTCACTGCTATATCTTCAGAGCCTAGAACAGGGCCAGTAGGTGGTCAATAAATGTTTGCTGAGTGAGGCAGGAGAAACTCATTCAGACATGGCAGGGGGAGTATGCCAGTGGCTCAGGGAGCTCCCGGGGACTGTGGAGGAAAGTGCCCCCATTCTGTGGGTACAGCGACCACTTAGGAGAGAGAGAAGCTGGTGCCCTGGCCGAGAGGACCATTGAGTGTCCCCACAGGCTCAGGCAGGCAGCTGTGATATTCCTGAGTGTTGGCATATCTGTGTGCATGATCTGGGTATGTGTCAAGTGCAGAGGCCTGGGGCCCGCAGAAACCCAGGCCTCACCCCTGCCTTCCTCTCCCCACCCTAGACTACTCTTTGCACCACATCGGCCAGTTCTTCCGTTCCAACTACATTTTCCTGTTCCAGCTTCCCTGGCTGCCTGAGAAGCTGCTATCCATGTCTGACTTCCAGGTGCAGTAGGGTGAAGGCCCAGGGCTGGGTGGAGGGTCATGGGTTGGGACTGAAGCCGGCATCCTGTTGTGTGCCCAGATCCTTAAGACCACCCTCACCCACCGCAAGAGGGGCATCCCACAGTTGACCCCCAGTGAACTTGAAGCCTTCCTTTATGACTTCTCACAGCCTGGTGGCCTCACTGGACCCCTCAACTACTATCGAAACATCTTCAGGTGAGGACCCAGGTCCTGATAAGCTCAGGAGAGTTGTGGGCTTGGGGCTAGGAGTGGGGCAGCCATCCTTCTGCCTGTCTGTCTGTCTTGATCACAGGACCTTCCCCCTGGAGCCCCAGGAGCTGGCCACACGCACACTGCTGCTATGGGGGGAGAAGGACCCCTATTTTGAGCAAGGTCTGGTAGAGGCCATCAGCAGCCGTTTTGTGCCAGGCCGGCTCGAAGCCCACATCCTGCCAGGCATGGGGCACTGGATCCCCCAGACCAATCCTGTGGAAATGCACCAATATATGTGGGCCTTCTTGCAAGACCTGCTGGGCTGATGGCCCTAGCTCGCTGGCCTGCATGCACCCAGGAGTTCTCACACTGGCTTGCATGCTCCCAGGTTGTATATATACAGATGGACTCTTGATGCACATGGATGAAACTCCTAGACTGCACACAAGTGCTTCTGTGGTTACCCTCAACCACACCACCCTCATATGCTCCCATACAGGCAGGCATGTATGCACTTGTGAGCAAGCACTTTGACCCCAGGGAACCAGGTATGCCTCTCTGTGGATCTAGATACTGAGCGTCCTACTTCTCTTCTCCATGAGACCCCACCCATCTTGCCAAAGTCAAAGCCCAGAGCTGTGTTGACCATGAACTATGACCTTTCTGTCCCTGGCTTCCACCGCCAGTCTGGAGTCCTCAGCTAAATGCTGCTCTGTCCAATACAGTACTTGTAGCCACGTCTGGCTACTTCCATTTAAATGCAAGTTAATTAAAATTAAATACGATGAAAAATTCAGTTCCTCACTCACACTAGCCATATTGTGAGCCCATCAAGGGCTCAGTTGAAGCAACATAGAACATTCTAATGGGCAGTGCTGATGAGGGTGTTCCTAGCTTACGAACAGGGGGCCTCCCTGCCTGGCTTCTGACACCTCACTGAGGAAGGACCCTCACAGGCAGGCAGGTGGAGGTCTGGACTCCTCTCCAGCCAGGCCCTGGGTAAACGCCCATTATCTCCCTCCTGGTCATGACTCCTGGCCTTGTGAGGTCAAATTCTCCCGCCCCAGCCTGGGAAAGATCCCTGGGATCTCTGTCTCAGATCTATGGGAAAACAGCTCTTGGCTCTGTTAGGATAAGTGAGATTGTGGACTCAGCACAGGAAGGGACCAGCTCCCTGAATAGCCATCTGGGGTGTCAGGCCTGCCTCCCCAGTTCCTGGACTCTTCTGCTCCAAATTAACCAGAGTTTCTGCTGATTCTTTCTGGGGACTCCTGGCATCAGCCTCCGAGTGAAGGTCATACACGTCGAAGGTGAACCATCCAGCCCCAGGCTGGTAACAGCATTAACTTTTATCTTCCTAGCCTTGTCCTGGCCTCTGGGAGCACTGTCATGACTGGCAGCAGTGTGATGAATCAGTCTGAGGGTCTCAGAAATATTAATACCTTTCTCTTACCTCCGGGGGCTTCTCTGGCGGCTCAGATAGTAAAGAATCTGCCTGCGATCCGGAGACCCGGATTTGACCCCTGGTTGGGGAAGATCCCCTGGAGAAGGGCATGGCAACCCACTCCAGTGTTTTTGCCTGGAGAATCCCCTGGACAGAGAGCCTGGTGGGTTATAGTCTGGGGTCACAGAAGAGTTTGACATGACTGAGCAACTAACACATTTTACTTTTTCACTTTTATCTCTTGGATGGGCCTGCCTAGCCAAAGCCTGCCTGCTACTTACCCCAGTCTGTCCTCCTTTGTCCCCTGCATAAAAATCCTTTAGCTCATGGTATGTGTCAGGAGCTGTTCTAGGCCCTGAGGATAGAGTGTATTCAAGGACACAGGCCCCATTCTGGAGTTAACAGAGAAGAGGCAAAAAGAGCAACGCGAGTGTGTGACTGGTCCCAGGAAAGGTTTTCGTTCCAGGGAGTGGGAAGCAGTAACAGGAAGGTCAGAGGCTGGGATAAGCTTGGGCTACGGGAGTAGCAGTGTGGAGATTAGTGCCTGCTAGGGCAGACCAAGGGGGCAGGCGCGCGCGAGGGAGAAGAGGCCACAGCCAGACCGCCAGGGGCTTCAAAGAGTTCGGATCTGATTCTCAAGGGGAGCCGGGGAGGGTTTTCAGCAGGGGAGGGACATGGTTTGCATTTTGAGAAGCACCCTGTGGCGGCTGAACTTCCCACGCAATAGTGAGAGCAAGGAGATAGGCCCAGAGCTGCGCACAGCCTCAGAACCAGATGGTCTGTTAGCCCTGATCTGAGCCAGGACCCTCAGACCCCACCCATCTCGCCTCCCTGCCTCTACTCTTCCTCGCTGTAGTTCCCCTCTGGGGCCAGGAAGATGGACGAGAGGAAGGGGGAGCCAGGGACCTCAGCTTGGAGCTGTGAAGCCTGTGTGCAGGATGAAGATGGTGTGTCGCGGGGGCGGGGTGGGGGGGTCGGGCAGGGCTGGCGGTGGGTCTGGTGACCGTTGCTAGGGTGACGGGGAAAGGGCTGATGGTTAACCGGAACGGGTCGAGGTTGTCTGGGTGACCGGAGGGGCCCAGGAGAAGGCTGACGGGAGGCCTCGAACAGTTGCCGGGGCGACGGGGTCCGCTGACGGTTGCCAGGGTAACGAGAAGGCGCCGTCTTACGCCTCCGTGACTGCTGGCAGGCGAAAGGCGGTGTGGTGGGGAGAGGGGAGAGGCGATCGCGTTGATTGGGCAGAGTCCTGACAGGTGAGCCAATAGCAACTAGAGGCTTGGCCAAAACCCGCCTCTCTCAGCCTGAGCCAATCTGGGAGCGTCTTTCTTAGAGCTGAGGAGGAGCCGACAACCGGAGGTTTAGGACTCTGGCTGAGGCCCCTCCCAGACCCCGCTCTTCCTGCTCTGGGCTCCCGTCTCCAGATCACCTTCCATCGTGTTTACTCACTTATCATCACTCATGTACATGTCCTTGCTACCAACTGTAATCCGTGGCCCCGCACCACTGGGCGGACAGGGGAGATAAAGACGGGCAGACTCTCCCAGCCCATGTGGTCAGGCCCGAGTAGAATGAGGGCCTAGGGGCGAGGGGATGGGACGGGCACCTACCTGGAGGAGGCGGCCTTGGAGCTGAATCCTGTAGAATGTGCTACAGTCCAAGGAAACCTCCCGTGCACAGGCCATTTAGCATTTCTGTGGGACTGGGAGGAACGTTTGGGATGGGAAGACGTGGGAATGCAGAATGCTTCCACACGAGGCCAGGAGCCACATCGGGCCCGCAGGGAAGTGTCCCAGACAGATCTGCAATGTCTGGAATATTGGGGGCTGGTAAGGGGGCAGGACCAGAGGGGGCCGACTGAAGGTGGGAGGCCTGGAAGGAGAATGGGTGTGGTCCAGGCAATAGAGGCTGAAGTCTGGGCATTTGAACGATGCGTAGAATCCCAGGGAAGACCAGAAGCAGGTTTGGGGCATATTCAACCTGAGGGAGCAGGACCCCTGAGGCAGGAACCTGGAAGCATCTGATAGGTTAAAGATAAAGATAATCCAGCAAGCATCCGTGTTTGGTGAGGCAAAAGAGCACTGAAGCTGGGAGAGAGAATGAAGCCTCCCCAGAACAGAGTGGAGAACAAACAAGACTTGGGAGCCCCCAGCATCTAAGAGACAGGCAGAGGAGGAGGGGTTAGGGTTAGGCAGCAGAGGAAGTAGGCAAGGGTGATGCCCCAGAAATGGCGGGGGAGAGGTCAAGGAAGAGAGGCATACACAGCCCATGGTGTCAAAAGCCGCTGAGAGATTTGGAGGATTGAGCCATGCAGATTGTGAGAGAGGAAACCTCAGAGTTCAGGCTGAGGACAGTGGACTTGGATGCTCTGAGTGCAGTTAAGTGGAGATGGGAGGGAAGAGTGGGGACCCCAGTCGGGAGCCTGGAGGGAACAACTAGCATTCAAATGGGGCAATTTGAGACAGGTTTGCTATAGGGACCGTATGCAGTGGGCAGGGTTTGGGAAAATCAACAGGAGTTTAGTGCAGCAAACCCCAGTGAGCACCCCTGAAGAACCATGACCACCTCCGGATCCCCCTGCCTGGGAACGGGGAAGGAAAGATGTTAGCAGAGCCCAGAGAGAGGTTTGTGTGTTTGTTGTTCAGCCACTCAGTCATGTCTGACTATTTGCGACCCGATGGACTGCAGCATATCTGTCTCTCTGTTCTTCACTATCTCCTGGGGTTTGCTCAGATTCATGTCCATTGCGTTGGTGACGCTATCTAACCACCTCATCCTCTGTTGCCCCCTTGTTTCCCAGGGGACAGGGTCTTTCCCAGTATCAGGGTCTTTTCCACTAAGTCGGCTTTTCACATCAGGTGGCTACAGTATTGGAGATTCAGCTTCAGCATCAGTCCTTCCAATGAATATTCAGGATTGATTTCCTTTAGGACTGACTGGTTTGATCTCCTTGCTGCCCAAGGGACTCTCAAGACTGTTCTCCACACCACAGTTCAAAAGCATCAATACTTCGGCACTCAGCCGTCCTTATGGACCAATTCTCACATCCATACATGACTACTGGAAAAACCATAGCTTTGACTATACAGACTTCTGTTGGCCAAATGACGTCTCTGCTCTTCAATACCTTGGATTGTATGGATGGGACCTTTGGTCAAGCGACACAGTCAGCTGAAATGGTGACCCTACCAGGAAAGATACAGGCGAATTAATATCCTGTTTTCTCCTGCTCCCTCCCCCTACCCCCTGCCCCACCGCTTTATCTTCTGCCAGTGCCTCCTATTGGCCAAACCCACGTAGAAGCCAGAGGACAAGGATGTCCATTGATACAGTCTGTAGAGGTCAGCCCCTTGGGGCGCAGAGCAAAGTGGAGAAGGCGAAGAATGGACCAAGCAGTGGGAAGAGATGCAGGGGAGAGAGGCAAGAGCTTGGGGATGGGGTGTGCGTGTGAAATGAGCGTTTGCTGCAGGTTTCACTTTATCACAGAATCCCTGGTGGCTCAGATGGTAAAGAATCCACCTTCAATGATGAGACTTGGGAGATGCAGGTTTGATCCCTGGGTCAGGAAGATCCCCTGGAGTAGGAAATGGCAACCCACTCTAGTATCTTTGCTTGAAGAATCCCATGGACAAAGGAGCCTGGTGGGCTACAGTCCATAGGGTCTCAAGGATCCGGGTATGATTGAGCAACTAACACTAACACTTCACTTTGGCACAGAAGAGACTTCAGCCTATGGCCAAGGAAAGAGGTAATGAAAAGCCAAGGTGTGGAGGGGGGGAATGCTCTCCTTCTCTGAAGCAAGAGGAAAGGTATGTGGGTAGGGGACAAGTGCCACACCTGCAGGAAAGAAGGAAGAGAAGTTTCAGGAGCTGGGACGGCAAGGAA